TATAAAGTTCAAATTTTGACAAAAACCCTTCAAAATTACAAACATTTGTAAAAAAATTGCATTTGTCAAATATCCATACCGAATTTTTATATAAATATTTCAAGTTATAGTTTTTGTGAAATTACGATCTAAAATATTAACTTTTTATTACGTTGTTATTACTTATTTTATATATCATACTGTACAGTTTTCAAAATATTTTTACTAATTTTAAGCTATTTATATCACTAACCTAACCTATACATGGTACGCGATATTGACAATAATATAATAATATATTCGAGGTTTTCAAAAAAAATAAATTCAACATATTGTACAACTAAATAGTAATTTAAATAAACTGTTCCGTCTTCGCTCAAAACTATATATTTTATTTTGCAACAACTTGTCCTTAAATTAAAATTGAACAAATTTGAACGTATTTTAATGTTACTCTTCCGAATAAAAAATGTTGTGAAAATTTTTCTGTAATTTCTTTTAAACTTTTTAAATGCATTTAATTATATTTTAGATTCCATTCAATCATTATTGTCCATAGGTATGTAAAACTGATCAATTGACATGTTTTAACTTACTCAGCATAGGTAACATTTTGCAATATAAGATTAGGACGTTGATTTCTCTCACATACTTCCACCTAGATGATGGTCGAATTATATAAAACAACAATTAATCGACATCCAATTTATTTATCCAAAAAGTATTTTTCAAAGTAATAAATTATTACAATTTAATACCGTTGACCTTGTACGACGTGAGAGTACCTAGGTGCATTATTAGTCGCGTCAACTTAAACCTTTTTTTTATAGCCTGATTATTATTTTTTAATACTTTTTTAATTACTTTTAAAGGTATACAATATTATAAGATATCCAAAAATGTGTGGTTTTCAATATCTACTCCTTCGATATCTAAATATTATGTATTCATGGGTAGTCCGAGCTTAAAATGGCTTAATAATAATGACACAATCATTTAATAAATATGAATATTATTCTTTTTTCTTCTTGGTGTTTTTATCAATCTTATATCTGTTTGTGGCCAAATATTTATTTACTTTTATCTAAAACAAACCATGATAACAACGAATTAAACGTCATGACAAAATTACCTATGTTCAATGACGTCGATCGTTTATCTGAAAATTATTATCGTGGTGACCTCGATAATCGTGATTATAGATAATTTAGTACAACCTTTAGTTCTTTTATGTATACCTAAGTCGACACTTTTATACGAATATGTAGGCATTATTCGTGCCCTTATTCATTTTCTTTCAAAATCCATTAAATTTGCTGTTTTTTTTTTCTCTACGTAGGTACCGTTTTCTACCAAAATCGATTAGGAAACATTACACTTTCGTTTAAATATTATACCTTTTTATTTTAGAAGCCAGCAGCTTATCATTTTTTTTTTTTACATTAATTTTGACTTCTCCAAAAATATTATTATGTTTAAACATATTTTGTCCTACGCGTTATCTAAAACGCAATCATTTGTACAGGACGATGAAGCTGGCCAATGAAGTCCCACATCATTCCTCATCTGATTTATATTTATATTTTTCAATGTAATTTTCTCACTATTTCTTTTTGTTGTTATGTACTTTTTACAAATTTCCTATTGGCTATTATATTATATTTTTAATGATAAATAATAAGACCACAATTTTTTTTTTATTGATATAGTTCTTATATTATAATATGGATAATATTTTTCATAATTTAACAACATACCGGGGAAACAATGAGGTAAATTTTGGCATGTACCGAACGCAAAAATAAAGTTTGCCATCCATGACCTATACATTATAAATATTGAATCCCATTCAAGTGAAGAGTCAGAGAAATGTTTTATTATTTTTTTCTTCTGAGCCATACCAGGTAAGTACAAAACGTGAATTCATAAGTTTTTTTAATAATACAAATAAATCACTTTGTTGCTTAAATAATTATCCAAAACTGTTTATAGATTGTAAATCTTTTCTTTTTAAAATAAAAATTATTATTACCTATTGGCTATTATTATTTTAAGCGTATCCAATGTTATTTGAAATTATTTGTTAATAATAAATACATACCGTATTGCATAACATAATATTATTATAAGTTATAAAGTGATATAAATAATGTGTAATACAATTTAACGTAAGAAAATTGTATCCAAGGTAAATGAATAAAATAATAAATAGGTATGAATAAATGTATAAAGTGTCGTGAATCTTATACTAGTATAAGATACTATGTACATGTATCTCAGATACCAGTATCTTGTATCTAGTATCTTAAAAAAATATCACAGTATCTATCTTGTATCTTCTTTTTAGAAACTTTTTTTGTCTTTCCCAGCCCTACCTATAACAATATATCTAATTTATGATAATAACTTAATGTAATTTTTTTTTTATGAATAATTATTCCATTAAGTGGTTAAATGGGTGATTTATTTTTTTATACTTAATAAAATAATGATTAAATGATTTATAATGTTAAATATAATATTAAAAATATCAAATTTATTATCAAGCAATGTTTAAGATTGTCGTTATTGCAATGTTAACTAAAAAATGATTATTGAATACCGTTAAGATGATGTTATACCCGCATGTGTGGTCTCCGTCTTACTAATGCAAAATATAGCAAATTTAACATTCAGTGGATTCATTTTATTCTGTTATTTATGTGAATAATTGGCTTTCTATCAAATATATAGGTAAGAATAATATTATCTAGGGGACCTTGTAGGTTTTTTGTATGTTTTAATAATGAAACAAATAATGAGCATTTTTAAATTTACAAAAAGATGTTCATTATTTGCTTCAAAATTAAAATACAAAAAAAAAACCTGAAAAATGAACTTGATAATTAAAACTTTGAACGAATCTATGAATTTATTGATTTTACAATGATGTGTGTTTTTTAACTTTTTATTTTTATGTTGTCATCACCTTTTACTTTTGAGTAAAAATATTTAAATTTTCAACTTCGGTATCTTTTCTGATAGGAAAGTGAATCTAGTTAACTAAGTAGACTTTGGGTGGTCAGAAATAAAAAGTTCCCAGAAATGTTCTTAATAATTGTAAAAACGAAATAAAATATGAAAAAAACGAACATTTTTACCAAGTTCCAGTTTTTGACAAAATAGATTTTCTTATTTAGTTGTAATTCAAAAACGAATAACCTTAAATACTCGACTCTTTTCTTGACATGGTATAATTTCCAAAATATTTTGACTGTTTTTGAGGTATTTATAAACATGTGACATTTTAAATTTTTTTTTGAGCGTTCCAAGTTAAAATGTTTACAAATACGTTCCAAATCGAGGAAATGGATGAATTATTTTATTATTACAAATTTATAAAATTGCGTTCCTAACAATTGAAAATACAATACAAGGTTCTTCATAAATAGTTTATTCAAAAATGTGAAAAAAACACGATTTTTTATCACAGACATGATGTTTTAATTTGAACGAAATTATATTAAGTATATTACTTAAATCAATGAATAACAATTTTAACTATTTGTTGTAATTCAAAAATATTAATGGTGATACTTGAAACTTTAATTTTGTATGTAAATTATTATATATTTTCAAAATACTATGTTACATTTTAACCTATTGCCTATTTATAACACTAAGCTATTTACACCGTTCTACGACAAGTATATATTATATATTGACACAAAATTGAATAACAATAATAATATATAATAATTTAATTCTAATGTTAATAATAATATAACAAATGTAATTTTTTCGTAAAAGCTTAAGCATTCTACCGTACTATTATATAGATAGTAAAAAAAATATTACTATAATAGCAATATCATGAAATATTGAAATATACTTATTAATACTATAATATAGCTGACAGACCTACAACTATCGTATCCATCTTCACTCAAAATCGTTTTTCGTATGCAATGATTTATGATTGATTTCACATTTAACACATACATAACAATAACTTACTCAATAACGATAGGTACACTTGAGGCCTATACTATAAGTCTACAGTACAGTAGTTATACTTACTTTCCTTCTTTTTACATTTAAATTGAATACATAATAGGTAAATTATTCACTATTTCACTCTAATATTAAAAATAACAGAGTAAAATGGATTCTTCTGAACGTTAAATTTTCCATGTTATGCGTTAGTAAGACGGACACAACACATTCAGATATAACGTCATCTCAACTGAAAAATAAATAAGTGTATAATATGTGTACTTAGGTAGTAGGTACCTATGCTCGATGGTATAATTTTGTTTCGATTAAATCCATAGTCAAATTTATAAAATAATCAGATACAATAAAATAAAAAAGTGATGGTAAGAAAACGGAATAACTGTTTATCGAATTCGGAAGGAAAATGGTCCACAACCATTCGTTCGAAGTCACCTATTTTATTGAAATTATTTTAATAATAGGTATTTGAAAAAGATCACATTTTCCTTAGCTTAATCCAATATAGTACTATACGTTCTAGCCATATTATTCGTGTATGTACGTGTATTTTTTTCTGGTTACTACGTTTATAAAATATCGCAGACAGAACTATATCACAACGAGGCGTTATATTATTATGTTATGACTTAGGTATGATGTTACACCTTACACGAATACTGCAGTAGCAGTTACCTATACACACAAACGCTGCATATTCGAGAGCACAGACGCACAACAGCATAATAATAATAATAATATACGGTTTTCATAATTTGTTTATTAAAATACTTAATGTGTGTTGTGTAAACCGTTGTGGTTTTTCGATTTATCAAAGGTCACGTATGCGCGTATGATAAGGAAATGGAAAGGTAGGATGGGTACCTATACATTATTGTGTTTATACACCAGCCAGTATGTTCGTTTCCGTTTCAGAGCACTGTTGATATGCACCCGTCTTGCGACTCGTACACCTCTGCTGCACACCGTGACTACCATAATATGACTATGTGATTTGGCCAGCGAAACGCCGCTCTTCTGTATCGAAAATGAGTGAGTATATCATGGTAATAATATTGTGCCCACCCGGTTTGGAGAGACCATAATATATAGGCGTCAATATACAGTAAACACGCTATTGATACTATATAATAATAATATTGTTAAGTGTTATAATATATTATTACTATTTTTATAATATTATTTTACCTCGGATTGTTCGTGTAGCTCTCGAGCACGGCCACGAACATGGCCATCATGGTCAGAATTGTATATTTACGTGGATATCCTTTGTGCTGGCCGTCGTTTCCACGCCGGTGCTGTGCATGTGTTACTTAAGTAAGTATAATAAAATAAGTACTCCGTGATATAGGTACCTGCAGTGTGCAATCGATAATAATACATTATTCAATCTCAATAATCTGTACACGTAGGTTCATTATTAACGATTATGATACCGGGCCGGAAATTGAATTTAACTGTTTACTTCTGTTTTGTAATAATTCCGTTTGAACATTTATTTTTTTTTAATAAATATATCAATCTTGTCTGATTATTTTATTAAACGATTTTTAAATCAAAATTTCTTATTTATAAAATACACTAGACATTTATTGATTCAGATATTATTTAAAAAATAGATTATAACTTTTAAAAATTTAGATAGGTATATCTTTTGACTTTTGAAGCAATTTTCTAAAGACAATTTTCTATTTGATCGGCTACGTATAAATCGTATAATACACTTAATATTAGGTACCTATCTCCTATATCTAATAAACATAATACAATAAATAATAATATATGATGATACAAACATCAATAAATATATGCATACGAGTATATACGACTGCGACGTATTGTGTCAATTATTACAAGTCCCAACTAATTTATTATTGGTTTACACTAATTAGATAATATTATGACCTTACTAAGGATATTTTTTTCGTGTGTATCGTACTATTTCATACGCAGTAAGTGAGTTGATTCCCGGGTCATTAAGAGGTACCTATGTACGAGTTGATTCCCTATTGTTGTATATCAATAGACTGCATGACCGTAGAGAGTTCGACCATCATTACCAGATACCAATTTTCTAAAACAATGTGATACATTTTTACTAAATTACTAAATTTTTTTAATAATAATTTTTTACTTAATTACTAAATTTTTTAATAATCATTTCTTAACAAAAAGTTGAATGATTTTCAAAATATAAAAAACTAAAAAGAACAACATTTTTGAGAAACTTGTCAGCCAACCTCTTCGTGGTGTTTCTTGGGTTACACTAATAGGCTAAATATTGAAAAAAAAAATATAATGACCCTTAAATCAACTCGTACGCAGCCGTTTCATACTTACGCTATAGATTTTAATTCATATATAATAATATTAATTTTTATGAATTTAATATAATCAATTTGTAAAATGTATAAGATTTGTAATGTTAAGATGCATTTGTAATCAAGCATAGATTTTCTTTGAATATGTATGGGACATATTGTTGCTTGGATCGCGCAATTTATTACAAGTTAGGTAATAAGTAATATAACTTTTTGAAAATTAGCATTTCGTTCATTAGCTTGATTAATATAGATTAATAGTACAGGTACCTAACAATTTATAATCTGTTCATATTAATTTGGCTGAAAGGTACCTAAACATTGAGTCATTTAATCTCGACTCTACATACATTTGTATTTTATCACTTTGAATTATGAGATATTTGTATGCATAATTTAAACATAAATAATTGTTCAAATCATAACTCTAAATCACTATAATATTTAAAACTATAAATACTGCTATGCATATACTATAAATAACAAGAATAATTATTTATATCAAACATCTTGTATTTATGTGTAGGTACCTATATTATGTGATACGCAACTGCCTAATTCGCAAAAATAATAATAAATGTACTTTGCAATATTTCGCTAAAATTTTCTTTTGAAATAATGTTCGGGACTATTTTCATTATATGAAAAATCTTTTATTTTGTCTAAATAATGTGACATAGAGCTGCCTTAGACGCAAACATAATAATACACACAGCAGACAACCCAATTTACCGCTACTGTGGCGGCACCTCCAAGACAATATAGTATCTCACCGCCACCGCTGCGATGTGTGTGTGTGGACCTTAATCCCATCCATCCCATGTATTGATTGCTGAATAATATTATAACACTGAATGCTTACTACAAAACATAATACATTTAAAAATTATATACTTAAGATTTGAGGTTTGATAGACTGCAAAAAAAAATAATTGAAAACAATGGCGTTGTACATTGAGCGAAGAAAATTTTCAGAGTGGCTCAGAAGTGTTTTTATTTCATATTCTATAACAATAATAAAAGTAAAAATTGAATATTAACGTTCAATATGTATGTAAGCGAAACCTATACCTAACGCATACAACAGGCTCGCAGAAAACTCAAAATAGCGGACGTTTTTTTAGGAACAAACTACCAACTTTCTGAGCATTCTGAATATTAAACACCTCCGAATTTCCGCGACCGAGAGTTTATTTAGAGGTTTCACTGTACAATGCTATTGCTGGAATAGCTGTTCGAATATTATCATGCTCGCAAGACACTATATCGTGATACCCATCGTATAATAGTCACTACAGTGTTCATCACCGCTAGGGTATAGTGCAGCCATACCACTTGGCACCCGACCTTCGATCCCAAAGTCCGAGGCCTATATAAATGTATTCTGGCCGGCGGGCTTAGCTGACATTTATCGAACGCGTCCCACGCACAGTACATACCTATGTATACACAAACGTGTGTTAGGCCGAGGGCAAAAATGCAAAAAGGACAAAAAAAGAAATATATTACTGGTATTGCTTTTTGACGATTTCGTGCTTAAACCCAAATCCCCGCGAAATTTTGTTTGAATTGAGTTTATTGTCTAGCATCTATTATCTTGTTTTTTCTTCAAAACATAATATAAATGCAGTAAATCCCAAATACTGTGCACCGATGATGCGCGATAAAGCATTTCATCATTATTTCGTAAAATAATAATAGCAAGATGGTCGATGGTTATAGGAAAAACAAAACAGTTTTATTTCTTTTTAACAACGTCAACAATCAAAATTGTTATTATTATTATTTACTATTGGCGACATCCTATGTTATCACTCAAACGCTTCGCATACGATTTTTTTTAATGTTCCTGCAGTATACGTACCTATTATATTACTAATAATAGAATAATAATCAACTAAGGCGGCATTTAGTGGTTGAGAGGGGGAGGGGTCACGAGGGACGGTTAACCTCCCAGAAAAAATGTTGAGAGGTCAAAATTATCATTTTAAATGTATCAGTAAATTGTGATTAATCCCCCCCCCCCCCCGAAATTAGAGCCAAGTCTTGCATATGATAATCGAAGTGTGTGTGAATAACGGATATTATATAATATTAATATTAGGTACGCACCTCTTGAGGAAAATTCTTTACCTTTACTCTAACTGAGTGTTACTTACGATAAATGATTAAAAACCCGTATTGTTTAAGGTTTAAGGCGGCTCTTAGTGGCTATTATTTAAGGGGAACAATTTAGGCAATTTCTAATCTTGTCGTCGCCGCCCGTAATCTATGTGTTAGTCGTAAATGATTATTAGTGTGAAATTCGAAGAAATTCGAACTCGATAACAATAGATTTTATATCGCCCGGCTGCGGGCACACGGTTCAATAGCACACGTACGCGCATGCACAAGTCAACGTAATCACTCTCGAAAAATATTTTTGTACACTCACAACAGTGAAAAATGCTAATAAGCTGGCGAAAAATACACATACTTCTAGTAGTCCAATTTCAATTTTGAAAAATTATTTGAATTCGTCAGCCTCTTTTCTATGATTTGTAGGAAACCGATTTTGGATATTTTAGATAATTTACGTATATTACGGTTCCAAATGACTGCTTGATTTCTCAAATTTAACTTGCACTTTTAAGTGCTAACTAGACAAAAATATGAAAAAGTTTTTCCTACAGATCATAGAAAAGAGGCTAACGAATCCAAATAAGTATTCAAAATTGAAATTGGACTACTAGAAGTATGTGTATTTTTCGCCAGCTTATTGGTCTAAATGCATGAAAAATCCAATCGTTTAGAGCCGCCTTAACAATTTTACCAATCAAATTTGACTTCATATAAATTACAAAAACAGTCATTATTATACTCGTAGGATGATTTATATTTTATTTTAAAAATTGACCAACAATAAATAACAAACAGATTGGTAAATAATCATTAAAAACATATTGATATGTTTTCAGCTACATCCATCGGCAGATTTGTACTGTTACGATTTCTAAAAAAGAAGTATCCAGACTTGGAATTCATAAAGTCAGTGTCGATTCGGTCTGCAATGGATACACCTGACAATACAGGATACGTTGTGGTATTGCTTAAAGTTATCGGAGATTTTGACATTAATCTGATGAAACACACGATTCAGGTGCATATTTAATTGTGGTTAACCCACATAATTTTTTTATAATATAGTTTTAAATAAATACCAAGTTTATACCTATCGCATAATCCTAAATTCAAATAACGAATATATTATTATACATATAGCTAGGTACCAAAATTTCCGAAAAATAAGAAAAAAAAAATTGGGAAAATTTAGTATCATTTAAAATTTCCGGAAAAAATAGTTTTGATGAAAAAAACTGGTTTTTTTCCTGAAAAATTTAAAAATTTCATGAAAAAATAGTTTTTTTTTCTAAAGAACTGAAAGAGTAATGTACATATTACATACATATTATATTATATACCATACCATACTTTACTCCAGGAGTTAAACATTGCTCCAAAAAATATTTATTGATATCATTCGTAGCACATTACGATTTTGAGATAAGATTGTAGTTTTTTTATATTGTTCTTAATATATAGCATAATACATTTTCTCTGAAATAAATCGTAAATTTAAACTACACAAAACATTTTGGGAACTAATAAATACAAAATCCATGTCAGGTTAGTCTATTTTTTAAAGGAGAAATTAATTTTATACTTAAGTAGTTGGTTTTACTTAAAAAAATCAAATTAACCAGATTCAAGGTGATGTTTTGAACCTTAAACAAATTTAATAATATTATGTTTAAAATAACAGATTAGGTATAGTCAAAAATATAGAATCTGTATTTTAACAACAAAAATTATAAGTATATAATATTATAAACAAGGAACTTTTATTTTTTTTTTTTCAAAAAGAATATTTACAATCTATACAATAAGGTATAATGAGTAAGTGTGTTGAACATTAGACATAAAATAATAACGTTAATATGAAGGCTCCCATCAGTGCCACCTGACCAGAAATTAGGTTTTGTTTTTATTTTTAATAGTTTTTAATTAGTTGATCATTTATTTATTTTTTTTTTTAAGCATTGAGCAGGTCTCTTGGCTATTTTCTTTTTAACCTTCTAGGAATGAGTGAGGTAGTGGATAGATTTTTAATTAGGTAGTGGATTTGAATGAGAACGAAGTTTTGAGTGGAGAACAAGGAACTAAAACAAATTATTGCTCACGTACGTCTAGAAAAGGCATCGTATTTCAGTAAATTTTTGTGTTGGTATAAATATTGTACAACCTTAAGTATTTGTTACACTAGGTATAGGTATTAAACCCAAGTCTGGGAAAGTAAAAATGTTAAGTTACTTTTAACTAAGTTAAATTACGGGATACATTTTTTTTTCAAATAACTTCTAATTTAACAAATAACAAGTTAGTATTTGTTACATCTGAATATATGATTTACGATAAGTAGTTACTACTTACTAATATATTGTTTAGTTCCGTTAAGAGGACCTAACAGTGATATTTGTTTTCTTCGTCTCACAATTGCGTAATATAGCAAATGTTATGCTCAGCAGAACACGTTTATCTCCGTTAGTTTAAAAATTAGAGCGAATTGACTTCTTATAAAATTTAAAGGTAAGATTATTATCTAGACAATGACATAGGCTTTTTATTATATTTTAATTTTAAAGCGAGGTATGAGTATTTTAAGATGTACAAACAGTTTACCTTTAAATTTTATAAGAGCTCAATTCGCTCTAATTTTTAAACCAACGGAGAAAAATGTTAATTTTTTCCTATTATGAACCCTATAAATAAAAAATATATTTTGTTTTCTAAAAATTATTGTTGTTATAGAAAAAAAATAGTTCCTATTTGGAAATATTATTTATAGTTAGAAAAATATTATTTGTAAATATTAAATTGTAGAAAGGTAACATTTGAATGTACTTTAACTATAGCCTATAGGGATTAAAATAATGTATATAAATTATAAATACAACTTTATATCAATTTCCATAAAATTATAACCTTTCATGATACATAAGTTTCAAATCTATCAACAATAACATTATCACAGATAAATCAGTTCAACGTTTAAGGAAACGTTGGTGTCGTGTTCCAAATTATTCATCTAAATAATTAATAACTTCTGTCAGTAGAGTACCTACTATACTACTATATATCATTGGATGCCCCCATTTCTGTTTTTTTTTTAAATATTTTAATAAATTAATATTACTCTTATAATATTATGTATTTGTTATAGGTACTACAAAAGTTTGTCTTTATTTATTCTTTTATCAAATTCACTTATTACTATGCTTTAGAGCGGGTTGTAAATATTCAGTTAAAAAAGTGTACGTAACTGATTTTTAACTAAATTAAATTACTTATGTTTTTCTACTTAACTAACTGTGAGTTTCAGTAGTTTAAAGAAAAGAAAAGTAAAATTAAACTTGACTTATATTTTTCTATATGAACTTAACTTCACGAGTTAACAAAAAATAGCTAACTTGACCAGTCTCGCTTAACTAAGTGTAATGCGTGATGCGAAGCAAAATGTTTGTGGCGACGTTGGAGAGTGAATTTAATTTGATTATTGTTTAGACAGATATAGTGGAAAAATACGATCGGGTAAGCGGCCGTCTATGTTATCCACATCTCCGGTGTTCGTTAACGAAGAAATGGATGCGGTACGCGTGGATCAAGACATCCAAGTTTTCCATCGACAACCACGTGATCGGATTGCCGGAGACCAAATCGGTGCCCGATGAGGACCACATCATGGTGAGTGCGTGTAGGTATATTAATATTACATGATACATGACGTAAAATATACGATTATTATATGCGTATAGTGTCGTTTGTATGAATATAATATATTAAACGTCACACAATATTTTATATATATTATCTAATATAATATTGTGTGGTGTTGGTAGTTGGATGTGGTTGAATAGAAAAGGCAGTGTCGTATTAGCTAGGGGAAGTTTCACGTCTTTGGGAACGCCGCCCCCCCCCCCCCGGCACGAAACAAACCACTTAAATCTCAATTTTATCAGATGAATAAATAAAGTTCAATATGTTTAACCATCGTTGTATACGCCTTGTATAGTTGTATCTAACTTGATAGCAACTGATCCTAACCTAACCAACCTTACGTTTTGGGCGAAACGCGTGCGTCGGATTGTACAACGATGTCATTTTTCTTTTGTGTGAACTTTTTTCCAAGTAGAAAGAGTTCAGCTCGTCACGAGTAAAATTTAATCGATTTTCAACGGAAGGAATACCCGAGCACCCGGCAGAATCGTATACGGAAATCCGCTGAGTAAATCTAACTTCTTATTTCACGTCCTATCGGCCATCAGGATTAAACGATAAATAAAACTTTACGCGTTTAAAATATAAAATAATAGTCGATGTTTAATCATTGTATTAATAATATTATTATTACTATTCACTGTTTCTAAAAAACCTCGTTACTAATAACATAACTCCATATTGGATATGTCAGGTAAATTTTGTTTGTGTAGAAGTAGTGCTAGAATAGTTGAAAAACAAAAAAAAATGATAAAATAATATTGAAAAGAATAATTTAGATATAGTCTATATCTTATATAAGTATACCTTTAGGTAACATAAGATAAATAAAAATCAATAATGTGAATAATCATTGTTATGAATTTGGTTTTAACAAAATATTTATTATTTAGGTTTAATACCGTATCACCGTGTTCTGTGTACCTACTAGTTACTACATGGTACTATATTATAATATGTTCTATATAATATAAACTATACAGGTATATGTACGCAAATATATAATGTATACATCATAATATACACAATACTGAATACAGTGATGCGGTATTACTGTAAATCTAAATAATAAATATTTTGTAAATACATAATATTATATACTTTAATAGTTCATGTTTATCAGTACCGACAGTACGACTTGGATGAAACAAAGAAACTATAATGTACCTGCAGTAGTATACTTATAATAATATCCGTTCATTATGATTGTCAGTGAGACACACAATTCCCGTTGTATATTTTGACGGAAAATAATTCAAATTCACGTTAAGCTATTAATGATCACAAAGTGAAAATAGAAGAAAAATTACAATACAAAGAAAACACTTTAAATCCCAACACATATATATGGTACAATAATGAGAATACTGAATATACTTTAAAAAAAAATTCTTTATCTTACTTTTGAAAGTTCATTACAACTTTTACTTTTATCCTGGCCTCAGTTATTCTTAAACGTCAAAAATGTAATCTCAACAATATAAATATGAGAAATATTTTATATAAATTAAAAACTATTTCTTCAATGTTGGATCGGAAATAATACTTTGAGTGCTGAAAGCTAACCTGCAAAATAACAAATTAACAAATAGACATTATAAGCTGCACTCCACAACATATAATAATATTATTATACAGTGTATTAAAATTTAAAGTAAAACAAAATCTGTGATATAGTATTTAGCAGTTTAGTGACGTCCCCTAAAGAATAATATGAAAACTGCACACTTTCTCAGGGTTATTTATTATTTATTATTATTATTATTAATTAATTCACGGAATAAAAAATTCCTTATTTAGTACAGAACATAACAATAATTCAGTAAAATAAGATAGCTAACATATACAAGGGCGATGGCCAAAAAATACAGCAGAATAACAGGCACAGTAAATATAAACTAAAATAATTAGGACACAAGTAAAATTACATACAATAAATGTACGAAAAATAACACAATATTAAGGTAAACTGAGAACTGGTTATCTATAGAAAATGTAAATACATCGGTTAAGGTGATTGGGAAGATATTCAATATTGTTTGCAGTAGATACACATGTTTTTTTCATATTTTTAAGCCATTGATATAATGGAATATAATCAGGATTTATATTTTTTTTTTACCAACTTGATTGTTTGGTGAAAATGTTCCTTTTACCTCATCTGATTCACAATTTTGATAACCGTTAGATTAAAATTATATGAATAATACTGAAAGTAACTTTAAGAAACAATAACTCAATTATGTTTATGAATTAAATGATTTTATAAAATTATAATTTAAAAACATTCAGTAAAAAGTCCTTAAACTAAATCTTTAAAATGATTACCTATATGTGCAAAGACAGACAGCGATGAAGATTATAAACTGTCATAGACATTTAAGCAACTGATTCTATAGTTTAGATCAAAAAATAATATTCAGATGGTTTAACTTAGATTTTTCTCAAATTTTTTGGCATATCGAATATTAATTATACGATCGTCTAAAACGGATAAGTACATGTTATATGCGTACAGTCTTTACACATTGCACTTGCAACAAATTAGGACAAAAGTGAATGATGATTCAACATAATAATATAGTGTTTTGCAATAGATTACTAGAATACTATTGCTTAATAGTACCTCTACTGGTATACTACCTACTACCTACCATTGATACAAGTTAAAAATCATTATTATTATTAAACGAAAGGACTGTACCTACTGCCGTGTATTCATTATGACGAGTATACGACATTATATAGGTAGGTACCTTGCAAAAACCATATCAATCGGTTTTCTAATATAAAATATTATTATAATTTTTTTTTCGAGGTGATATTATTTTATTTGGGTTTTATGTAATTGTTTTTCGACTTTAAGGACATTAGGTATGTCGATGACAATATATATTGGCCTACCAGAATATTTTATTGTTAAAGTGTTATTGTTAAAAAAGTATATTTCCTGTTTTATCGTTAAAAGATCACACTGACATACTGTAACATATTATACAGAGTGATTTTCCAAGCATCCTCGCTAATATTTTTTCTTTAATAACGAATTTAATCAAATTATTCTGATTTTTTGAATTTTTAAATAGGTACCTATATATATATTTCCACATTTTCAAGTACTTAGATTTTTACACCATTTAAGAGGAGTACTCTGAGGCGATAGAAACTTCTTATTTCAAACGAAAACCAACTTTTTTAACTGTAAATTATTAAGTACCTAGATAAATAGATAATGTTTTTTTAAAAAATTAAGATCGTACTAAATCAAAACTCAAATGAATTAACAAAGTAATTCCAAGTTATTAAAATGTTTATACTAAGGACTATTATTGTCCATTGTCTATAGATGACGCTAATAATATCCCGTTAATTCCTAATTTCCTTCATTTTGAGTTTCCAGAAGCTCCAGTTATCCTGCTATTATTGGTGACTTTAAGTTTCGTTATTTATCTCAGACTTCACAGTCATTAGTGAATAGTGATTAGCGATAACCTAATACAGTAATACATATTAAATTATTAGAGATATTGTGGAAATTATATCTTGAACTACTATCTAAATGACTAAGTGAAGTTGATCTACTAACATTTAGTATCAAATTATAAAAAAACAAAAACTTATATAAAAAAAAATAATAATATTAGACGTAATTTTTATAAAAATATAACATCGTTTATAAGAGCTAAAATTGATAAAAACAATTAATTTTTCAACATTTAAAGAGGAATGGATAATTTTAAACAAAATAAGTGGAGTGATGTTCTGATGTCTAAATAATTGTTATTCGTCAGTAATCACTATAATACCACTATATATATAATATTAATATACAGAGTACATTCAGATTTCAGGCTAATGAATTAATAAAATACTTAATAAATATAGTAAACTTTATCACAAACGTATTATCATTGTTATATGCATAAAACGTCCGGTTTTGAGATTGTCGTTGGAATAACGTGACCCTGCGGTGGATTGTTGCCTGTCATACGATTTATAAATAAATTAATACATTTCGGTACTGCCGAGAATGATATCTATAATTATATTCATAATACAGTGTCTCACTGCTGCTGTACTGTTCTACGATACCGATTACTAGGTACGTGATAAAAAATGTATGGAAATTTTCAAATGTCTAAATATGTAATACCTACCCTACCTATCAATACTAATGTCTACACTCATTAGGTACTTCGTAATGTTTCAAATTTTCAAAATTTTTTTTTTACACTATAATTCTATTTTATTATATTATCATTTCAAAACAACATTTCAGAAAAAAATTTAATTTTACTATTTTTATCATTATGATTTTTAAGTTTTTACTTTTTTGAATAACACCATACATTTTTTAATTTCAATTTAAAAGCAAAATATTATTAACAGTATTTTTATCTAAAAATATCAAGTTACGGACAAGTAGTTCGTTAGTTATACCTAAGTATTTAAATGACCGGTGTTAAAAGTTCAAACTTTTTGAAATAATGAGTGTAAACACTCAAATGGATCCCCTGGTATTATTACATGAAGGGGTAATAAATTAGCCTAATTAATTAATTTAAGCTAAGAAAATCGATGGGCAATCCGAAATACACTAATATTTTAAAACTGAACTTAGTAAAACTACGAATTACTATGGGAGCTTTATGTAATTATTCTTTTTACTCTTCCGAAAGTATAGAAGTTAACTAATATGATGCATTTTAAATATTCCGTATGCAATGGAAGCCTGCGGGTAGAGTTAATTGCACTAGGCAAAATCGTATTATAACCATTAATCAATCTTATCAAAACCGGAGAACTCACAAACAGAACACTGGCAAATAATACAATCAGACGACAGTTATCCGTTGAGAGGCCGTCACAGAAGAAAAAAAATCGACCGTAAAAGATGTTTTTTTATATTTCCAATAAATATCAAGCCTCGTTGATCTTAAAAACATGGTTTTAGTATCAAAATAATCTCGAGAAGTTGTACTAAAAATTCTTAGAACAGATTTTTAAAATATTTTCTAACCAATTTTATTTGTATAATATACAAACCAGGTTCATATTATGAAGTTTGTACCATATTTTAATTTTTTAATTTTAATTAATTTAGATAGGTAAATTTAGATATCGAAAATCTGTTGTTACATCACATTAAAATTAAAAAAATTAATTCTATGTCCATATACATTATTATATTATATTATTAAGTTTTGATTTTGTCCCATGTGTTTTCCGGAAACAATATAAAATATATACTCACCTCGTCTAATTACCAATTAAACTGAAAACCATTTCTATGATTTCATGTACCTACTTACATGATGTTATATCGTACAATTATACCTACTGAGTATAAACTATGAACACGATGCTGCTGAATGATCGATATAGACGACGCGAGCAGCTATTATAGTATTATATTTTACCAACTTTTCTGGCTTTCAACTGTAGGTAGGTACGCGCATTTCTACAATAGTTTAGTCTCAGCCACTGTCGGATGATATAGATATATTGTACCGAGATATATTATACCGACGTAAAAAAGTTCGACTAAAACTTTCATTTCGGATATTACAAAGTTTCATTATTGCCATCGACCATCCTAAATTAATAATATATACCTTAAGTTTACGGAAAAAAAACATCCGAGCACTAGATGTCGTTCGAATGCTTTTATATTTTTAATTAAATTGTTTATTATTAAGCACAATGCACTTACATCAAAAACAAAAAATCACTGCCATCTCGTTGTTTTATTTACAACATTCACCTACTGGGAAATAAATGTGTACCTATTATACAACTACTGGCTACTGTAACACGGGACAGATCCATTCCCAGCATTGTGGTTCCAAAACCTTGTTTTCGTTTTATTTATCTTGAAGTGAGTTTGATAGTTAACTTAATTAACATAACAAAATAATTCCAAATACACATACACTATAAATTATAGTTAGGTAGCTATAGTGCTATACCGCCGGGACTATATATAGTAAATATATAGGTATAGGCCATATACTTATATTATATTTATCATACATTTCCATAGGCTCAAATAGGGTGGGGAGATTTAGGTTCTTAGCCCCCCCCCAAAAAACCCGAACTCTATTTGCGCCTGTGTACATTACTATTATAATATATTATATCGGACATACAGGGGCGACAACAAGAGACATGGTTGGGGAAGGAGCATTCTAATAAGTCATAATTTTTATGAATATCTTCTACCATTAATTAAATATTTAATCAATGCTTCTACTATAATATCTTTGAATGACAAAATATATGATTCACATTAAATCTGTGGTAAATAATTTACTGCAGTTACTAGCTACCATTTAACAGTTTTTTTTTTTAATTATAATGATCAGGTTATATGTTATGTTTGTAAATAAAAAATATTTCAGTAAAATATATATGTTAATTATTAGTTATTTTGAATTTTACATTTTATTCCAATTGCCAATATGTACATTGTATAGATTGGTACTTGTGTAATTTTATAAGGAGAAAACTTTTTATTTAAATTAGGGACGACAGTGGAACACAATCATGATAAATGAAACACTCAGACCCACCTCAACCCTTAATGGAGCACCATTTTAAAAACCTGAGGATGTCACTAATCCCCATAACTCTAAAAGTATGTGTTGCATGATTTCTTGCAAATTTAGTATTACCGCGCTCCATAAAATTATGTTATATTTCAAGACAAGACCGTATTAAAATTTTGCACCCAAATTTATGGTGGTAGTTATTTTTAATTGTCGTAAAAACATGTTCTATTAAAGTCAAAAAACGTAGTTTTTAATAAAATTTAAATGGCGACACGTCAATAAGTAAGACGCACATCAGTCACCTGCAGATATATATTATTTAAAACTCACAAGTTCCTTGAATTAGAACGCCTCTACAAATCCATATTTTACAAGGTTGGACGGGAGATCAGTAAAATTGTCTACAAAGTATAAATATGTAGAATGTAGATATCTATGTATAAAGATTTATATGTAATCCATCTGAAGTATCTAGTCAACATAATATAGATAGTAGATACTAGATAGTAAAAATAATAATATAGTCGCGACGGTTAGGTTATGTTATGTCGTGGTCGTGAGTTTAAATAAAAAATAGGTATATTGTACCTAGTATATACTTTTATTGTATTTCGTTATTACAATTCATGATTTTGAAAGGTATTATTTTTCCGTCTTCAAGATAATATAATTTTTCATCAGGTAAAACAGTAGAACGTATTTTTCCATTTCTCCAATAATACCTACATACGCTAACGGCAATTACCAACATCCGCTTACTTATAATGGCAATTATTATTATACAGCAACACGTGAACGACATAATTGCGTCACACATACCGCCTGAACTGCCGCAGTGGCAGATCACCATGATCCCGGTGGGCGAGGACTCGTTCTATCTGCTGGTCCGGATACACCACCTGTATTCGTCTGAGGACGGCATCGGGCTGAGCGACCTGTTGCTACTGAAACCGGACGACGGTGGTCTGAAACACAGTGAAACTGCGTCGGCGTCGGTGTCGTCATCGTCAGGCCAGCACGCGGACGCCGACAGCATCCAGAACATCTTGTCGACCGTGTACCAGGCACCGACCGCATTGCCTAGACTCAGTGAACACCTTTCGGAGATCTGTGCCAACACGTGGAACGAACTGGTGTCCACGTACGATCCGCTGGAAAACCCGAAGGTGTTCAGGCGCCGGCCGAATGTCTTTATTTTTGGCACCATGCTGGTGATCGTGACCGCGTCCGCGGCCCGGGACAAAACTACCAAGCGGAACTTTGCCCACAAGTTGAAACGGGAGATGACCCGCCGAGACATCCGGTTCCGGTACATGTGCGAGAGTCTGGTCAACACGTTCCACCCTGCTCTGTGGGTGTCATTCGCCTGGTGGCTGCTCGTAAAGTGTATACTCAGGTTGCCAATCACCATGCTGCTGATGGTCAAGAACACGTCCACGTACGTGTACTGGACTTACGTACTGCTGTACTCAGTGTCCGAGCTGATATATCTGGCCCGGCTCATGTACTACGCGCCAAGCACCGTCATTCGGGAACTGGTGTTGCCATTCTTCGGCGGCCCGGACCGCGGGACCATGCGTGAGCCGGAGGGTAGCAAGTGCGTGTGCTGGTCGCGGCCCATCGACCTGGACCTGGTCAACACTATACACGACAACACGGGCGCGGCCACCTGCGAGATCCAACTGTCCATGCTGGCCGCCGCCCTGCAGGAGTACTTCGCCTTGGCCGGCCTTCGGTGCCCCAAAAACGTGATGACCACCACGCGGTTCGTGTCCAAGGCCAACCTGTTCCAGCTCAACAACCGGCACGTGGTCACCAACGGGCTATTGGCCCTTCCACTACCCATGGATACCGACCGTGACCCCATGTACAGCCTGCACCAGATGCAAGAATGCCTGCAGGAGGCCATCGGCAACCAGACTGCCTTGTACATAGCGTCGATGTGGCAGATCGACCACAGCCTGGCCACGTCGTTCTTGCCATCGCCGATGGTCAGCTATGGGCTACACTTCCTGTCCAAGAAGTTCCCGCTGACCGTCACCTACGTTGAGGAACACAAATTGGACCGTAAGCGCCGAATGCTGTTGTGGGGCCAAGAGGTGGACGCCATCTTATATTGGAGACCACCGCAGGCCAACGTCTGTGAGTATAATATTCTATATACGAATTGTAAGGTTATTATTATTATTATTATTATACGTGCCACACAATTTTATAATTTTTTCACTCGATTTACTAATAATTATAGTTGAGTATAATATTATTAAACACGCCAAATAATTATGATATAATTTTGTACCGTTTGTTTTGCGATTTTCAGGCATGTCGTTATCAATAATCAACTACGGCGGTCATTTGAGACTGGCGGTGATGGCTGACGCGAATATGACTCCTCCATGTAAAGAGATTGTGTCCAAGTACGAAGGAAATATCCCAGAGTTTATTACCGCCGCTGAGAATTATGCGAAAATTGTCAATACTTCAGATTAGTCTAGTATTTTTTATACATTTGTAATAGGTTTATATTAAATAATGAAAAATCAATTTTAATGTTTTTATATTGAAAATTAAAATCTAAATTTATAAAATATATACATCAAATTTAATCAAAGTTATTACAAATAGAACAATATTATCTTTTTGGTGAAAAGTAGTCGGATATTTTACGTTTAACTACTCTTTTCCCTTTATCGTTTTCTTCTCTATCTCTTTTAAGAATACTCAACTGTCCTGTAACTGATGATTTTTCTATAGCAGATTGAAAATCTTTTTTGGAATCATTCAATTGTAGCCAACTGTTTTTCTGTTGATTAATACACATTGTTCGCTCCTTGTCATTATTTAATCTAAACTGGTTTACAGGCAAAAATCTAACATCTTGGGTATCTTGTTTATTTATATGGTCTGTAGCATCTATGGCTATATTATCAACATGTACTAATTCTGTTTCATCTTCAAGTTTTTCTGGAGTTGACTCTATTATCCTTAAACTTGAAGATAGTTGAGACTCTTCGGAAGGTGACTCAATGAAAGTCGTATTTAAACAACACTTAGTTTCATCGGAAGTAAACTTTACTATGTTTGAACTTGAAGAAGCCTGAGACTCTTCAGTTGACTTTAGTAGATTTGAACTTGAATACGGCTTAGACGACTCTGCAGAAGTTGAACTTGAACAAGGATGAGACTGTTCCAGAGTTTGATCATTTTCCGTGCTTGAAGTTTTAGAGGCTTGGAGTACTCTAGTGGTGTTAGACTCTACTGCTTTATAATTATTCCTTAAAAATTGATTCTGTGAATACTGTGGGAATATTCCAGATTGATATCCTTTATTTTCAAATACCTGAAAATTATATAATTTCATATGATATATTGTCTCATATGGCATGAAATTTCATAAAATATTTCTTACGCACCTACCTGCCAATCTTTGTTTGTAATAGCATCATAAATATAATCATGTACTCCAACATATGGTAAGGTTTCCAAGCATGCATAGTATTTAATAAGTATCCTAGAAACTTCACCTAAAATTGATAGTATTATAAATTAATTTATAGTATACAATATAAAAAGTATTTGTCCCATTAATAACTGCCTTTAACTTAGGAATGTATTTGAAAAATATTAATTTCTAATTTTTATGAAACTTATTTAGTTAATTCACAAACTTTAGTTAATATACATAAAGTTAATTAACAATAATTAAACTTACAAATGTTTCAAAAAAAAAAAACACACCATTGGCAACCTTAAACTTTAATAACACATGAAATATGCATTATTTTAACATCTGTAAGTAGGTAGGTATATATAAAAAGTAAATATTAACAGTTATTTCTGATTATTGGGCACTAATTTTCTCTGCTCACTTTGGAACAGGATTATAGTGCATTTAAATGATGAAATTAAATGAAAAAAAAATCTTTGTATACAAACAATCTTAGTGGAGTCAGGCTAAGAAGGCAAAGCATTGAAATTAGCTTTATATCGTCCACACGTAATGTGACGTCTCCCAAAATCATTAACCATACTTTCAAGTAGGTAGTATGGTTCTAAGAATGTGGTTTTAAGATATACCAATTAACAATATTATCTAACCAAAAAATGAACAAGAAGTGCAAAATTAGAAAATTATTTAAGATCCCGATAAAATAACTATACAATTAACTGTTAAGAACTAAGTTGAGAAAATGATTCAAGTTTTGTTTGATAAATTAATCGATTATCTTGTATGTATGTTTAATTACATTTTATAAATCATGTGAAATTAATGGTCAATTGGAATTATCAACAAAGCCCAGGTTTAGAAGTTATTAATAATTTGCAAAATCAGATTTCAGAATAATTAGTTATGAAAAAATTATTAACAAGAACAAACACAGTGATACATATTTTATTAAAAATGTAGCTTATGAAATGAAAGTTAACTAACCAACTGTAATATTTTTGCTTTTCAAAAATGTATGCATACTATGAATTGAGTCCATCAGTTTGGTATCACCAAATGTAAAGTAAGCAACGTCCCGATTCGCTTGAGCAGCGCTCATTAATTGCAACAATGATTTTAGATGGCAATCTCCACGAAAAGCACCACAGCCCCAATTTCCTGTTGCTATTGCAACATCAGAACACTCTGAATCTTGTCCCCATGAAAATCCGGCAAATGACTAAACACAAGGATGTTAAAAACAATCATATCCATATTAAATACTCAATTTTTAAATACTTTATGCAGCTCTCGTCGTAAATTTTTTGTTTTAAATTGATTTTTCGGATCATTGTAGTACAGTGCATCAATCGCAACAATAGTAGTATAGCGGCGATTATTATCATCAACAGGAGTAACATCTGTATGAACACCTTTCCATTCAAAAGAATTAGCATATCCACTGTAATCACTGAATCTCTCCACACCTGTAAATTATTTAGCTAATTTTAATACAAGTGTTACATTTTTTATCCGGTTCTAACCTGTAATAATAATTGCTTCTGTATGTAACATCTTTTCTGAGAACAGCTGAGATACTAATAATTCAGGACAAATTAGAAAACGAATTTCTTCTTGTACACTACCATGACCAAGAACGCCTCCTCCAATAAATCTAGAAAATAAAATTATTTCCAATAAATTTGATATATCTGGTTTTGAATATGTGTTCAAGATTTTTAAAACTACTTATTCGCGAAATCCACTTGAAGCATTCCATCACCATTATCTTCTATTGTCCCATCAGATGTTATATACAAATTTGTCAACTTCTTTGTTGATTGTAACCAATATGGTAAATCCCCAGATGGTAATCTTCTTCTAGAATAGGTTACAACTCCATTAAGAACTGAAAATTACCATTAAATTAATTATTAAATATTATGAGTTAACAATATTTTACTATATTATCTAATTATTAATGTAGAATTGGTTTGCTCACCAGAATTAGCACTGGTGACTTTTTTAAAATAACAAATGATACATTTCAACTTTTCATACAAATAGTGATTAGACGAAGAATTAACCATTAATTGGAAAAATCTGCTCAGAAAAATAAAATAAATTATTTAATAAAATAACTGATATTTTATTAATTTACCCGTTAAAATTTATGTATGGATATTCTGAATACTCAGACTTTGAATTGCTGACGTTTCGATGTGGGAATGTACATAAGAAAGCATTAGCCAAGAGACAGGCAATTTGCATTTGACTTAATGATATAGAGTGATTATGAGTTTGTTTCAACAAAGGTATTGGTTTAGTTACTAATGTAGGCAATTGCAATGCCAAATTAATAATTTTTGGTAATAAATTATTAAAAAATTCTTCTGTTTCTTCTTCATTTAAACACTACATAAACAAAAATATTAATATTTACTCGTATACTATAATTATTATCTATAATGGAACATAATTTTCATTAATAATTAAAAGTAATATAAGGGACATTTGTACATATTATTATAAAAGATATGCCTAAGACCTTACTGGGGTCACATGAGCGTTTTATTAACGTATGTTACGTTACATCAGTCGTTGAATTCTACGATTACTGATGCCACGGCCACACACTCAACATCCATTAGATTTGACGTCGCCTACGATGGACGTTACATTTAATGCCCGATGACATCTGACGCTCGTGTGACCCTAGCCTAAATGTCAAGACATTTATTTAATAGCGTACTAAAAATAAAAATACTAAAATAATACATAATAATTAATTATAAGATATAAGTATAGGTTACTTCATCAAAAAATGAATGTAGTAAATAGAATCGCCATTTGTCTTTATACTTGGGATTATATGATATAATAGCTTTTTCTAATTCTTCACTTGACAATATTGGTTTAAGTAAACTATAGGTGATAACATCCCAACGATTTTTTTTAGAACTCTAAAAAATCAAAACAATAAAAATGTAATTAAAATTTATAATAACTAAATAAATACATACTTTAATATTGTGATGAACTAAAAATAAATTATGTCTAGAGCATGGCATCTTTACATGATTGTCATCCCAAGTATCACAATATTCTTTGGGATATGCTTCTGGAATATTGTTAATACCAATTGGAATCTATGAATATATGAATTTAGATATTTATATGCATTTATTTCAACAAATATATAATATTATGTACTTTAAATAATAGTGTATGCTCCAAACTAGGTATAAGTGATGGGAACAATGGTTTGCCAAAACTCCTGGGTAGTAAACTTTTATCAATTCCTTTCCAATTCTTTGTTTCGTCATTTGAAATATTATCTAGTTCAGACAAAGATTAATACATTTTTTATTAAAACACATACATAATTAAATTTGTATGAATATCTAAAAACAAGCCTACAAAATAATATATCTTCTTTTATGATTAAATTAGTTTTATGCAAAATTTATGAACAAAAAATTCAAATACAAATAGATAGGAAAAGTTAAGAAATACATTTTTTTTTAAAGAAATAATCTATATTAATTTTACCATCGAGATACGTTAACATAGCTCAAGCGACATATTTCTTAAGTTGTTGGTTTTATTTTGGTGAAGGTTCCTCTCAGGTTAAATAATAAATAAAACAGGTATTGAACAGCTAACATAAGTTAAGGTCTCAATCTCACTTTGAGACATTGGGAATTTCAATCCATTAATTATCATGAATTATATTGTACCTATACTATCTCCCTCGTCAAAAAAAAACTGATACTCAAGTAATAAGTATTACACAATTTGCACAAAATGTACATGACACAACACAATTATTGATACAGAATAGTATTCATAAATCGCCTTACCGATCTCCATAATTGAAAACCATGAATCCAAAATGGATTTACTGTTATCGTGTTTGTAAATAGAAAGGATTAATCAAAGTTCAGTAAAAATTCTTCCAACACATTCTTCGTCCTTTCACCCATAGCCATTGACACCTTGATGACAACAATAAAATACAGCTACCTATAAAAAGTTTAACTCAATGACCATAGTCCATAATTCAGAGAGACTTAAGTATAATCATATTACAATTATAATTTATACCAAATACTTTTAATACTATTCATGCACAAGTGTCAAATCAAGTAGAAATTCGATAGGCTAAACCAGTAAAAAAAAAATTAAAAAGATATTGGTACAATATCATGATACAATTGACATGATTCATTAACCATAATCCTGGTGCTGGATAATATGGGATAATTTTAAACTGGTTTAGCCTAGCCAATTTCTAATCACTACTCACTGAAATTTCTAAACTGCTTACTGGCCACTAGCCAGTATCTACTGGTATAGTGAATACACTATAAACAAATCACAATTCACATTTCATAATGCACAAACGTCAAACAAACTTACAACCACGGTCCACGATTTATGATAATATATTTAATATATATTTAAGATATATCTTAAATCGTGCGTACAAGTTACAATAGGTATACAATTATTAATATAATTGAAAATGTGATATTGAAAACAATAATATGGAGGGGTGAACATCTAGGTCTTTATCTATCAAGGACACTGTATGCACACAAATAAAATGGCGATTGAGTCGCCGTAGTCGATTACCTGTGTGGAGTACTGAAGAGTGTGGACCATCAACGTATCCCATACAAATCTATATTATTAATGGCGTTACTCCGGCTAGGTCACAGAAAATACTACTCGTCACTCGACTGAGCCACCATTTTAAACCATTTCTGTGTGACGATTACCGAATATCAACACGAATAATCGACAAATTTTCGCGGGAAAAAGACTGTACACTGATATCACTGAACGGAGATAATAAATAATAAATCTACCGAGGTAATCACAAATTAATTCATGATAACAATTATCTTATCTTCCGTACAAAACGATTATTGATTTTTGATAAGCAAGACTGACAAACGTACTGACAGTGTTGCCGATAGTACGGTATTTGTCGGGGGATTACGGTAATTTCATACTCCGTACGGTCGGAGTACGGTCAACCAAAAATGGGTCAAATAGTACGGTAAATTCAAAAAAAAAAAATTAGCTTTTCATCATATTTGTTATAATTATTTTGTATTTGATTTTATTTTGTATTAATACTATATATTATATAATATTGAACTTCGAACCTGACCCAGACTTTTGATCGTGATATTATGTGAGCTGTACTAAGATGGTGCTCAGTTTCTCCCTAGTTAGAATTCCCATAGAATTCCATAGAATTCCCCATAAAAGAAAACAGAGTTCATCTAATAACCCCAAACCTTGGGTGAAACTATCATAATAATTAACTATAATTTTTAATTTTAAATATCATGTAATTTTTGTTTTTGAATTTTTTATTATGTTGTCTGTAATTAATTTTTACTTTATACTAATTTACGTGATCTCAGAACAATAATGACCAATGACATTTCATTTCACAGGCATACATATATTGTGACAAGATGTGATAATTGCTAACTTTTTTATAAAATATGTTTATTTGTAAATTTATGTTTTATTATTCATTGAACAATTTAATAATTTTAGATTCTAAGCAGAATGATGAATGTATAATGTATTGATTTTATAATGATATGTGCATAAAAGTGTGATTTACATTTTTTATAAATATTTGATAAGAATTTGATAAGAATTCGGACCTGTGATAAGAAATTATAACTGATAACCATGCTGATAACCTAAAAAATCAATAAGTACGGTAATATTGTTCAAAGTACGGTAATTTTGTCATATTTTCCCCGCTGACTAGATAACAAACATTGGCAACGCTGCGTACTGAAGTAGTAAACTAGTTAAGTACAATTGGTTGTATGTACAGCTCAGGTACTTTTGAAATTTCTTGTCCATATTTCTAAATTTTCATTATATTACCGACTCCAGAGTACTGGACATATTGTGTAGACACTGGTACATTGCCTATATTCTATAATAGTGTTTTGTGCTAACTACGTACTAGTCAGTAACTAGTACTTAGTTAGAACACATCAGAATATCGAAAAGTGATAAACTATTTTGCAGAACTGATTATATTTTGAAGTGTTATAGAGTTAAAATATTATAAAGCTAGCCTGTAACTTTCAAAATAGTGAAGAGTAAATTAAATATCGATCCCATAGTATGGCGTCTGTGTTCAGTTCAGAAACAATTGATGATGTCACAGATATCGCTGAAAGTTTGAAACAGTTGTCTGTTGCAAGAGCCCAAATTAATTCGTTGAGGTATGTAGTAGGTACTTGTACAATACAAGTCTTAATTGTTGTCATTTTCTTTATTAGGAAACAGAACGAGTCTTTAAAAAAACAGCTGAACGAAAAGGATTTGATGGTTTCAAATGGACCAAGTACAGCTAGCAGCTCTGAAAAAATAGAACTATCCATTATAGGAACCATAAAAACAAAATTTAAAGAACGTAGATGTGTACCAAGACAACCTGGTCTCTGTCCACTAGCCCAAGCTTGCCTGACAATATCCAACTCTATATTCACTAATCCAAACCATGCTCTAGAAGGTCTCTCAGATTTCTCTCATATGTGGTAATTTAAATACAGTAATGTTATTAGCCTGGATCAAATGTTAAATATTCAATAAATATTTCAGGATTTTGTTTCATTTTCATAAAAATGAAACCACTCATGTTCATGCAAAAGTATCACCACCGAGATTAAACGGATTGCGAACTGGTGTACTTGGCACTCGATCTCCACACCGACCCTCACCAATTGGTTTATCTCTAGTGCAAATTGATAAAGTTGAAGGTAACCTTAGAAATATGTTTATAAATAACTATTTTTTTAATTTTAAAATAACATTAGGTATTTACTATCCGTACATGAAGTAAAAAGGTTATGTTAAGCATGAATAGGAAAATAGTTGGAACTATAGTGCCTCTTGGCCATTCTATTCTTAATAAACTTAAGTATTCTGAAAGTTTTAAAGTATTTTTGTTTTTTAAATTTTAGGAAATTCTGTGTATTTTTCTGGTGTGGACATGATAGATGGTACTCCAGTGCTCGATATCAAGCCATATATTCCACATTATGATGCACCAGCTACTCTTAGATCTGACCAACATGTTTCATTATTTGATAATGGTTCACATCAAATACTATTGGATCCATTGACATCTGACCGAGAAGCTCCTGATGGAGAGGAAACTGATGCATATGATATGCCTCTTTCTCCACTCCATACAAGGGTATAACCTTTTTTTTTAAAACAAATAATATTATACTTATGAACCAAGTGATGAGATCAATTGAATAATTTTAATTAGTAGTAATCAAAAGGTAATTACAATCAAAAGTTTCACTTGGGAATTTGTATCAAGTAGTCAAGATAAAAATGTGTATTAAATCAGGTTCTCATTCTAGTAGACATTTATCTTAAACTTCTGGTTAATTAATACTTTTTAACTGTTGTATACTTTTATTAACTAGTATATTGACCTAACCTATAATTTTATTACATTATGTAAAGTAAAACTCTTTGTTGTTTTAACTCTCTTTATTACTAAAACTTTTGCTATTATAATTTGATCAATAATGAATAATACAATTCTACAGCAAAACATGATATATAGGTAATCAAAATTTGAGTTATTTTTTGTAAGATTATTTAAAATTTTTGAAATTTTTTTACAATGTTGTTGATACAGAGAGAATCACTTGATACATTTTTAAAGAATCAAAATCAATAATTTTGAGTGCTTAAATTATTTTCTATAGATATTTTTCATCACTATATTCACTAAGGTTCCAACACTGCAGCAGCAGCGGTAAAATGATTCCGTACACAATTTACCACCAACACTGCAGTGTGTGGTAACCTTTGTATATACTTGAATAATTAATACAATAACCAATATTATACTAATACATAGTTATACATTTTAATTATAATAATAATTTTTATATAAAATATTAACAAAAAAAGTAACAAGTAAAGCAAAACAACTAATAATGGTATCCAAATTTAAGTTAGTAATGTTCTTATCGCATTACTAGCAGTATCGTCATTTCAGTTTTTAATAGAGGGGGTCAAAAGTTTTGACTAGCCCAAATGGGTAACTTAAAAAAAACCAGTCGCTTCACTTGCAACCACATAATATGACATATAGATACATACCAACTTTCGTGCTCATCCCCACATGAGTCTAAATATAAATATCTTTCAACTATTAATTAGTAATTACCAATTGATCATTATGACAATAATCTATTAGTACACAATATAATATTTTCTCAAAACATTATAAAAATAGGCATGTTTTGGTGCTAATAATTTATAATAACAGTTAAATAAAAACCATTCTGGCTACTTTTAAAATCAGACATGGGAAAATGTCCACCTTGCCTCCCCCCAAATGACGCTACTGACTACTAGTACACCTCAATATTAGAAAATTTATAAAAGTGTTTGCTATGAAACAACATGTATAATGTATCAATATTTAGTTTACAAATTACAAATCTATATACATTATTTTATTCTTTACAAAATAAAACAATTTAGGTACCTAATATAGTAATATCTAATAACTAAATATTTTGTATTTATATTATGCTAATACATTCTCCACTATTTAAGCCACTTAAAAATTTAAATTCCTTTAAAAATTAATAAATTAATAAAAATTTTCTCTGTTACCTACATTATATTTTTTTGCTGTGAACAAAATAAATGTCTTAGATTTGTTATCAATACAGTATAAATGCGTAGAATTCAAAATGTATTACTATGTACTCTGGTAATCATAAACTTAATTAATTTTCTAAAATTAATAGGTCCGAGTACCTCTGTGGATTACTGAACCACTGATGCAACAACTAACAGTGGAGTTCTCGTCAAGAGCAAGAGAATTTTTAAACTCATTGGATACTAATGATATTGAAGCGACTATAGTAAGTATATTGAAAGAAGATCCTCGGTCGGTTTATGTCCGCGAACGTTATAGTAATCAGTTTTACACATTCTTAATTGGAGGCTATCATGTGAGTTGCAAGTTTGATGATACTAAACACACAATTAGTGTCTATAGAATATCATACGTTGATAGTATGGAGAATGTAGCTGATCAAGAAGGAGCCCAATGTTTGTCTATAGGTTAATTCATAAGTAATTAATAATAATTTCAACTTTTACAATTATGTTCCATTTTTACATCCATCTCTTTTTTGAAATATTAGTATGCTATTTATACAATAATATACTCTATTCCAAATAAGATCATGAGTTGGCGGCTGAAATCTACGCATAGGCGGGGCTTCACTACGAGCACGGCGCGACGGCTTGATCGACATAATTAGTCTATCGTAGACCAGTGTCCTGAACAAATAACTTAAATTGCAATGTATACTCTCAAACAGAAAGAGTACGTTGTGATGTATTTTTCCGTACCATCACTCGCACAGCAATTTCATTTGTTCAATTTTTAATCCCTATATTTTTTTTATTACCAAATGTTATAGGTACTGAATGGTACGGTGCATTGTCCATGACGATAACGGAATTTGGATCGAGTATAGGGATAATGGACTCAAACCACTGTTTGAAGTTAGCCCCATTCATCTCGTCATGGTAATGTAAGCCACCTGGCAGAAAACTATTCTCCAACCCAATGTGTAGTACAATGAGTTGTTTCCCTTTACCAGATGGGTTTGGTAGACCGGTTGTGAGGCTTTTGTTGAATGCATCGTGTTTGGAGAGAAACGTTTTGTCCTTCCAAACACGATCGATCCAATCACCGGATTTTAACCAAGTCTCGTTCAGATAATATATAGTTCGACCTTCAGCTCTATATTTCTGAATGTCTTATAAATACTTACGATGCCAAACAATTAGGTCCTCTCTCGGTCAGCACACTGCACCTTTTTCTTTATATTAATACAAAATCCAATTTTTTGATGACACGATACAGAGACGTCCTTTTAAAATTTGGAAGCGAAGGATCTGCGTTGACATCTAATAAAATTCGGTTGATGGTTGGTAGTTCGCGCTTTAACCAAACAGAATGAATTGTCCGACATAATCCTGTGCAATCCAGATCATCAATTTTGTCAGACAGTAAAGCCTTTAACCGTGTATTAGTCGTTTTATACTGACTGATGATTTTCAGTATGGTGTTTTGTCCCAAATCAGTTAACTCTCTAATACGGTTAATAATGTCCACATAATTTTTTGTCTAGTATATTAGAAATAATGTCTTTATAAATATTGACGATCATCATCTTTTGACCACTGGACACACACTGTAAAAAACATATAAATAATATTTTATACTTACCTAATGCAATTTGAAATATAAATATTAAATAATTAAATATTATATTAATTCTGCCGTCCAAAGAAAAAAACGCAGTAAATCGGAAAAAAAAAATAAGATAATAATGTATTACGTTCAATATTATACTTTTTTTTCCTAAACAAAGATGCCGTAACTATTATTATTTATCCAGAATTTTATGTTTATAAGAAAACAATATTGCCGCAATTAATATATAAATATTATAAATATAATCAGTGCTTAGCAAAAACACAGTAACCACAGTTTGCTTAGAAAAATTGCTGAAAGAAAAATTGAAAATATAATTGAGTAGTTACATTGCATTCATCAGGTATATTTCCATAAGGAGTTATGTATTTTACTTTAAAAAATATTATATTTATGAAAACAAAACTACTAAACATAAAATGTAATTTTTTTCAATATGGCATGAAGGGAAATTACGGCGTTTTATTCTTAGAATCGCAAAATTGTTATGTGGATTCACTGGGTAAAAACCGTTATTATTATTACTTACTTTTCCATTTTTATTTTTGTTGGAGAAATAGTACTGACTTCTTCAGGTTGCAGACTGCAGAGGCATACAACTTACAAGTCATACAACCTTCGACTTCAGGGATAAGACCCTTAATTATTTCGATATTATCTCCCATTATATATTTATTTAATACGCAAAACACAGTGAAAACAACAAACAAATCGGTTTAAATAGACAGGCGAGTAATTAAACGGTAAGGTAAGCTTGTAAGCGTCGTTGAACATCGGCCGCCAGCCAACGCCGTCCAACAACAGCTGGTGGGTGAAGCCTGAGCGCCGCCGACTCATGATCTTATTTGGAATAGAGTATATGAAGACGTGGGTGCAAGTGTGCAACAACCAGACATCTTAATTTTAATAATTTTTTCAGGACAAGCGAAAGAAAATTTGTTATCTCATTTACCACCAATGGCGGGAAAAATTTCATTTTGCAATGTCATTGGAACTCATCAATACATTTTTCTGATTTATGTACCAAAATATAGATATTTCTTCCATGAATAATATTCTATGAAAAAAAAATGTTTGATAAAAATGGAGATGTATGGTTGTTGCACCCACGTCTTCGTAGTTCATAATGTTCATATACTCATTACTTGCGCCGCTGGGACCTGATAGAGTCAGAGTCACAAGTTACAACTCGTGGGCTCATCCAAATGACCGATCTCTGCGTTTTCGTACCCAAATATACATTGTAAAATACTACTATATCCTACTATATTCTTATTCTATGAATACTACACTCTACCACCTAAACTCTAAAGTTGCCGCCGCAAATTTCCTACTCGCTACGCGGTGACGGCAACCGGTGGTTGTATACACCGGCTCAAGTATCACACATTCACACCACGAAAAAAATAACACCTGGCGACTGGCGCACTTAATACCTATTATCATTGATTATACATAATATAATAGTATTATAGTATAATACTAGGTACTATTTATATTTTATAATCAATGCTATTATGTATAAAACAACAATGCAAATAATATGTATCATGTATGTAATATCAATATTTGATTTATGCATTTATCTGTGAATACCAACAAAAATGAGTAATTGTGCATTACATAACACACTTTATAATATGCACTTACTAGAAAAAAATCATTAAAATACCAAAAAAAAAAATTTAAATACAAAAAAATATTTAAATGATGACAAAAAAAATCAAAACAATAAAGAAATTAATCTGACTAATCTGAGTCTGAATCCGAAGAACTTGTATCACATGTTCTTATCATTAGAACACGACGTTCTCCTTCTTCAGGTTGTTCGTCCATCACTGAATCAGTTACATGTTCTATTTCCCAAAACTCTTCTTCCACCTTTTTCACATGTTCAACAAAATTTTTCCACATTTCTGGAGTTACGTGGTCCACGCCTTTTTTCAACAACTTGAGTACGTCCTTTAATTTGTAGCTGTTGTTATGCGTCCGGACATAAGTTTTCACAGACGACCACGCGAGCTCGATTGGATTTAGCTCGCAGTGGTATGGAGGTAATCGCAATACGATTTTGTTATTGTCTTTTGCGTACTCATCTATTATGTATTTGTCGTATTGTTTTTTAATTTTTTTTACTTTTTTCATTAAATCGTTTTTTACTATAGGATGAGTAACGATCACACCTTTACTTTCAAGCCAATCAATAATTGCTTGTTTTCTCCAAGACTTATCTGGTATTTTATATTTTTTCACGGAATGGTATGAGGCATTATCCATTACAATGATGGCGTTTTCTTTTAGTAATGGCAGGATTTTAACAAACCATTCATAAAATGTACCGTCATTCATCTCATGGTAGTCAGCAGAATTGGTTTTAGACTCAAAACACAAAAGGCCCCCCGGGACAAAACCGTCGGTCGACCCGATGTGTAATGCGATGAGACGCTTACCTTTACCGGAGGGTTCCTTTTGTCCTGTGGTGGGGTCTTTAAGGAATGCATCACTTGATGATTCGACCATGCTATCGACACTCGTTCTGTTATGCGTCTCGCCTGCGTTGACCCACGTCTCATCCAAGTAATAGATTGGCCTGTTTTGCGCTCTGTAATGCCTTATTTTATTCAAATAATTTCGGCGCCAAGTTATTAAATCTTCTCTTTCGAGAAGTGCACTGTTACGATTTTTTTTGACATACTCGAATTGCAAATCCTTCAATACTGTTTGGAATGACGTACGTTTGAGGTTTGGTAATGTTTCATCTTCATTAACGGCTGTTAATATTTTTGAAATTGTTGGTACTTCGCTGGCCCTCCAAAAATTGTGAATTTTTCGCCTGATGGCATTTTTATCAAATTCGTCAACTTTCTGTATTACTGTTGGTCTAATTTTTTTCTTGTTGGGCGATGACACTGTACCTTGTTTCTTATACTCGGATAATGTGGTTTGTACCGTACGTTGCCCAATACCGGTAGATTTTGAAATGTCTAAGATCATTTGTCTGTAGTTCAATTGTGTCATCTCAGGATTTTCAAGCTGTTGTTGGACTTTGTCTTTATATACATTAATAATCATTTTCCTTTGACCAGTGCCAATAAACTAGAGAAAAAAAAATATTTAAAAATTTTGAATTTGCAATAGAAAAGTAGTAATACACAAACGCTTACTTTTCCACGTGGATTTTTTGTGGCAGGAGTAACATCTTGAACGTCCATGTTGTATTCTATAGTATAGTATGCAAAAGCAATAGATTGCTAAAAAACTCAAAAACTTTGAAAGAAATGTTTAAAAAACTGTGTGCACACAAAAACGATTATTTTTTGTATGTATGCCAATGCGTAAAATAACGGAATACTATAGTACGCGCTGTATACATTATACAAACACTAACACAGTTTCCTGGACGGCGCCGCACAGTAGCGCTCTCTTAGCGGCGTGCATAGATAATATTATCATTCTATTATCTATTTCGGCGCGAGTATAAAGATCCATAGATAATCTATGTAAAGATCACGGCCACGGTCAAGAAGATATCTTAGATAAGACAGTGATAATGATCTACTATAAATTATAAACCTTAGATCATATACTACGGATCAATAGTCTATGATCTAACGAGGTTTCTAACTATCTAAGCTATGAACTTAAGTAGTTACATAAAATCTCATGACTGTTATCATTCTTAATTTTAATATATCATATTAATATTATGATTTATGATTGTTTTTTTTTTTTTTTTTATTGATCATGAATAATAAATAATATTTAATAATAATAGAGTAGTAATTAAGTAAATACTATACTATACTCATAGTCCATAGATGTTTCTATGACTATACTATACTGTATAGTTTTTATAAGTATTGATTTAAGAGATAATAGATTCATGTGACATTATGCATTAGTGATGAGAATATAAATAATATCAGTGCATTTGCACTATTATACTAGCCTGTATTACATAATAATATGTGAGATTGAAAAGCCTATTGAAATATTGAATGAATGTGAAAATTAGTATTTGGTATAATCAATTTTTTTTACTTAAATAGTATTTCATAGTTTGGTACAATACTATACTAGTTAGTAGTTTGACCAAGTTAAATATTTATAATTGTAATTTTATTTTAATTTTGTATGCATTTATATTGTAACTTTACAATTATTATTATAATTCTTTCAAAATATATTGTTATTTTTAAATAAAAAATGTATGTATTAAATTTTCATCATAACCAGTCTTGTAAACAGTGCCGTGCTAACAATCATTAGTGCCCCAGGGCAATAATATTCGGCGCCCCTAATAAACATACATATTTAATCATTTGTCGCCCTTTAAAATGTTACAAGTTTGACCAACCCCTTAGCACGGCTCTGCTTGTAAAAAAATACTTTCAAAAAGTATTTAAGTTATTACTCAAATACTATAAATAGTACAGTACTTAAGTAATACTCAAATACTTTTTAGGAGAATTTGAAACAATCTTCAAATACAAAAAAAAAAATTCTATGTAGTTCTGAAATAAATTGTTAAAATCAAAAATTTGTTTATTGCATTTTAAAAAATAATGCTAGAATCAAAATGCTGATTGGTACCACAACAATGAAATTATCTCTACAGAAGGTTATATATTAATTTAAACATTATTTTCCATTCAAATTGAACATCAGTTGTCAGTTCATGAATCATGATTCAAACATAGTATTTTCAATATTGCGCAATACAGCACTATTGTGCTATTTCTAAGGTTGTAAACTGTGACACAAATTGTTAAATAAAGTATATACAATAGTAAGTCAAAAATATTATTTCCCTTGAAATTCGAAAAAAAAACGTAAGTTTTCAAATTGTTGACAACCAGCAGTTTCATGAACACCAAGAATTATCTATGTGTATATTGTAATCTAAGGACACTAAGGTTAATAAGATTCATATATAATCAAGCATTGTAATACATCAAAATTGAAAGACATTGCTAGGTTGCATTAAATATTTAATGAATCAATGGTGAGCTAAAGGTCCCTTAAAAAAGATTTAGTGGCCAATGATTGGTCCATTCAATTTTAGTGAGCCATTAAATTTAATCAATTTTTTATGCAACACGGCATAAGCATATCTTATTAATAAGTTAACAATTTACCAGCATAAAATAAAAGTAGGTAATACAAAGGTAAAGGTTAGGTTTGTTGTTTAACTATTGTACATAGATGAACAATATAAAATATTAATGTCAATTTTATAAGATAGTAATATAATTAATTGAAAATACATTTAAATCCATTTTAATAAATAAGTATAATCCTTATAATTTTATTAAGTAATGATAATACAGGGAATTTTTTTTGAAACATAGAAAAAACAAATAGCTTACATAAGGCTAATAAACACCACAGATTTTGTTTCAACAGTTGAAAAAAAATAATACAATTGTAATAATAACCAACCAAAAGTCTTCAATATACAACTAGATTCGCCACCATGTCATTTTTTGTGCTGGCTTTATAGGAAACCAGAAAATCACAGTATCCCACCTTATGTCTGAACTTTCAAACAAATAATCAACTATTAAATGTCAGAATTATCATCGTATATTAATACCTAGAGTTTTTCAATCTGATGATTTTTTTTTAATACTGGGTCCACACATAAAAACCCAACATAAGCTCAACTTTTTCCAATACAGATGGGACAATCTAAATTGTTTTTAAAAACAGAAACGAAACAAAAACCAGATTCTGAGTCAGTGGCGTGATGCAGAATATTTGGGTCAAGTGGCCCATCTATAAATTGGGGTGGGTGGTCTGGTGGGTTGACCTATAGCCCCTTCCAAAATATAAAATTCTTGTTGTGCCTAGAGGTGAGTTTAAATATATTATTTTAATAAAAATTTGGGGGTGGATGGGTATAGATTAAATGGACATGTTGCTGTCCCATTCATGAAAGTAGTTTGCGCCGCCACTGTTCTGAGTGGACCCGGGATAACATATAATCTAAAAGCTTTGACGTTATTACAGTTTTTTTTTATTATAATGTAATTACTGTTAAGTTAAATATATGTTTAGGAATAAATTATATATAATATGTATAGATTATAATAAGACTACTAAACCGCATTCAGGACAAACTCATACCATTAATAATGGAAACTGTGTAGGAGTACCCAAAACCCAGTTCCCATAAAACAACCCCGCGGAAAACTAAATAATAACTAACAAATCAGTTTTTACTGATTACATAAATTAATAAAATAAAAATGGTCTAAGATTTAAAAGTTGCAAGACTCGATACTAAAATTTGGGAGTTCTTCACTTAAAAAGTTTGAAAAACAATAAATATTTTTCATTCAAAAATAAATGAAAAAAGAGCATATCTCTAATTGCTGAAACACTGTAATTTTGATTAAACATTATTTGTTCATTAATTTTGGCTTTCAAAGAATCGGTCATGTTTAGCTTTGACATTTGATACTATTAAATCTTCAATCTCGATTCCTTTTTGATATCGTCTCAGTCAATAAAATATCTTCAATTACACCATCTTGAGCTATTAACTTGACATTATGTTTCCTTGTGTGTAGTAAGTTCCCAATAACAAGCTATAAAATGATTTTGTATACAAAAAAGTTGTCAAGCGTTGGAATATATATAATATAAAATTAACTTTGACATTGTAGATAAATTACAATTGATCACAGAGTAAAGCTAATATTTTAAACTCACTTGATGCTTGTATTTACTAAGAGCCCCTTTGGCTTTCTGTTCTAAAATCCCACTATCAGTCTCTAATTTGAATGAAATTATGTATGCATTTGGAGCCCAAATATGAGTAACAGCGTATAAAACTTTGGGTACCAGTCGTAAAGCAATCACTGGAGGTCCGTCTTTGGATTGAACTTTATGTTCAGCTACAGCAATAAATCACTTTATTCAAATATTAGAAATACCTATGCATAATTAAATAAATATTATGCATCACTAAACCGAAAAATATTTATGTCAGTAAAAGACACATACATTTAAGCATACTGTTCATTAGACTTATACTTTTATAAGTAGTTCAAGCAAGAGCATAATATCAAAAACATACCATGTCATTGGGCGGTATATAAAGTCTGAAACAGCAGCAGCGTAATAAGAGTAAAGAATATTTGGTATCCATAAGCATGCAAGAACCCTCTCACCACCACATATACTCTATCAAGTAGTGAAGGAACGGTTAGGATCTGTTATCATTTTTTGGCGTCTTGTACTTCTCAGGTATTGGAAAGAGAGTATCAAAGTTCACTTTGCTTCATCTGAAATAATTCAAATTATTAATGATTTAAAAGTCTAATGAACAACTATGTTACCTGTATAATTACATCTACAATCGTCCAATTTTTATCTAATAGTGAATTGTTGAAGTGGCGAACAAATGGCTCCAATGAATTTGAACTAGAAAATAAAATATAATGGTATAGATAACTATAGACTAATTATAAATAAATTACCAATGATTTTGTAATAAATTATAGTTTATAATAAAACCAATGATATTATTTAAGTTTAAAATTAAAAATAATTAGTAGAATTACATATACAGTAAAACCTGACTAATTAAGGCTGTATATTGTCCAAATTAATAAAAGTTCCAATAAAACAAAATAACCTATTGAATAAGCCAAGGTTTATGTTTAAATACTATTTAGAAAAAAAATATATTAGTGACTTAAGAAATACAAAGGTTTATTTAGAATATAAGATATAATGCAACCTAGTAATAGGCCTTACAAAATACAAAACAACTAGTTATTCCTATTAATTTTCTGATAATATAATGGACGCCACTTTTAAAACTCATAGATACATAGTTCAGTCGCTTATTAAGCTCCAAATTTTCTGGAATTGTCCAGACGTATTCAAATATATTATAACAAATTTGGTTATAAGACTCAAATTTTGTAAAAAAGAAAATGGTAGGAAACGAACGTTTTTGGTTAAAATTTAGAAATAAATTTGTTTTAAAAAATTTCATATTTATGTTGGCTGTTACTGGTTTTGATTCATGCCTTATAATGTGTGTATGTACAACAAATTCGATTGCATTTTACATTTATCGCAATTATTATTATAATAGTGTGAGGTATGAATACACTCTCAATTACCTGGCCCAGCTATCGTAATAGATAATTAATTTACAATTTTTTATTAATATATAATAATTTTATAATTTTTAATTTGTAATCATAATTTTTTCATTCATTCACTAATAAGTAATATTTAATATGTATTAAAGGAGATTTAAATAAAAGCAAAATATGAAGTAAAATAAAACAAGTGGTGTAGCCAGGAATTTTGTATGGGGAGGGCTAAGTATCACAAAAAAAGCGGGTAAGTGGATGTCGCTCTGATGTACAGTAGGTTACAAGTGAGTCACTGTATAATGGATTGTATTAAATTTGAATCCAATGATATAATATTATCATTGTAAACGAAAAACGATTCTGAGTGGAGACGGTTTGTCAGTCTGGATATTTTATAGTGTTAATATATTTTATTACAGCCTGATTGTAGAATTAATATTATAAACTCACAACAAATTACAAAAAATCGTTATTTTTTCTATTCTGTTTCCTTAGTGATAACAAAGCGCGTTAGAAATTAAAATCCAGTTTTTAGCTGTTTTTTTGTAATTTATTGGTGGTTTTGCCGTGGCATTAAATCACTATTGAGAGAAATCGAAAAAAGGAACTTCTTAAAGTATACCATCTTGGTCCAATTTTCTAAAAACTAAGGGACTATATGTTGAATTCGAAGCATCCTTCTGGTAGCAATCTTGTATAAAAAAATAAAAAATAATAACACCATTTGTTAAGCTCCGCTCAGAATCTAAAATACAATTGCGATATTATGTCTTTTATTTACACTTTTTATTTTTTTATTAATCTTAATAAAATTCTAAGGTAAACTCAGTCAATGGGGGGAGGGGCATAGTCCCCCCTGGCTACGCCACTGAATAAAACTCATAAATATGTAATTAAAATTTTTGTTCTTTTTTCCCCGTGAGTCTCATAAGCAGCGTCCACTGTACTAATAATATATATTATTAAACGCTATCCAGATTAATGAGGTTCTACGGTACATATAGATCATAGATATTTTAGTTTTAGAATTTGATTAACGTCTATGACCTATGATATTAAATAATAGCAAATTTATTAATTTTTAATAACTGTTAATTAAATATTTTATTCACAATAGATATCTAGGTATAAAATTGGTTAAAGAAATCGGTATGAGCAGGAACAAATATTTTGAATAACCAGAAACAAAATAATGGTAAGATCATACCGAAACAGGAACTAATAACATGTTCTATTTTTTAGGGTTAACTGAAAGCAGTAAAATCCTAAAAGTTCCAACTCCTAGTTAATACAATAATAAATAATTAATAGGTTTACTTACCGATAAAGAAATATAACAACATATCCAGCATCAAGAAAATATTCAGCAGAAGCAGAACCCCTAGTTCCTAGACTAAAATTGTCAACGAAACGGACAGTATTTTGTTCAATTGGGACTGTAGTTCCTCCAGACTAAATAAAGGAATTTAATTAATATTATTTTTTAACATTTGGTACCACGGTAAATTCATAAGTAAATTAAGCTATTAAAATTGAACTCATATTTATTATTACACTTTTGAGACATAAATAATATGTATTATTACCTATATTATGTTAGTAGATACTATAGATATACTTACAGTTATCAAAACCATTTTTTTGTTTTCATGGCTGCATACAAAATTTTCTACAGTGGTTATAGTGGATTCATAGTTTGAAGGAGAAGGGTGAGTGTCATAAAATGATTCCCAATCCATTTTTGTTAGTAGTTATAACCTATGAAAACAAATTACAAAATTGATTTAAATTCAAATAAATTTAGTAGGTACCTATTGACACTCAAAATAATTATCATAAAAAGTAAACTATTACTATCCTTGAATGTTACTAAAAAAAAAATACTAAACCTTCAATGAACCCATGTAAGTAATATTACAAATCTTAAAACTACTAAAACATGTTTACAACCAGTACCATATATTGTATTATTAATCTGGAATTCATAAATTAATCTAGTTTTAGATCCAATAATACTGAATTTAGATTATTCTATAAAATATAATATTATGCCTTTCTTTCTAAACAAGGGCACCCATTAGAATAGAGCGGGGACCAACAACTCCTCCCCTAACTTTAGAGATTTACCTTATAATAATACCTACTGTAATTATAATAAAAACATCAATTTATGAAAGTATTAAACAAATGTTTATATAACGTTACAAGTAACCTAGATATAAATCATTGGAAGTTGGAACACAATATTTTGAAATAAAACCAGAATAGGAAATATTAAATTTCAGAGACATAGGCTGTGCTCTAAAGGATTAAACTGATGGTTATTACTCGTGTTTTTTTTAGATAATTTTATCCTGAAAAGTAAACCAATATTAAATCATATAGATTATATTTTGTCTATTTCACATTTCAACAAACAAAATTAACACTAAAAAAATAGAAGGGCTCAATTTAACAGGAATGCTAATTATATTTGAAAAATACAAAAAAAATAATCAAACTTAAAAAATAGTTCAAAAACAATCAATATTATATTAAGTTGCTTATGACAGTATAAACAGTTTCATTTTCATCGTTGATAAATAAATTGTTTTGTCTACAGAATTAAAATATATAAAATTGTTAATATTAAGTGGTTTGAGTTTTTATGGAGACTTATAAAGTAACAAGTATGAAGGAACAACTGTTGCAATTGTCACCAGCAGCCAGCCTAAAAAGGGTTGTTATCCATACTTAATGGTTTCCTATACCAATTAATATATATTATGTTACCACCACAAATTAAGATATACATATATATAATTATATAATTATATATGTATTTATATTAAATATATATATATATAATTCATGGTTACCACCATATTAATAACTATTAAAAACACGTTTGTGTCGAGGTGGGGTATTTGCTGGCATAACCCCATAACCTTAGGTAAACACTATTGCACTAGGCAGTTACAAGTTTAGTTACAACAACTTAACAGTCGGGGTCCAGTGGATGTGTACTATATACGCTGTTATATATTAATATTTATTACCTACACAACACTACGTCGTGTTTTCGGAAACGGGTTGTTGAGGTGGGAGACGGGAACAGGGTAAAACACTTGCTATACGTACCGGTCGACTTCTGTAGTCTGTACCTGTTCAACGTAAACAGAATAAGTACCCAAATTACACGACTAAGGCGACGACCACTTTATTCTCTCTTTATATTACTATTATAGTATTATATACGACTAGTCAGCACTCGGTAACAGCAACAACAGGTGTGTCGTCTCGACGGCGTCAAAGTTGAGTACCCGAGTAGGTACTTGAACGTGTGGATTTTAGAATAGTTTTTAGATATTTTAATCTAAAGGGAATACATGGGGTAGGGGAGTGGGCTCGTCAAGCGACAACTGAACTGACAAGACTGTGTCGATAATTCCCACCCACTGGTGCCGTGGCGACGACCGTCCGTAACGGGATACGGGCCAAGTCGGAGTGTGCGTGTAACACAAATATCATCTACCACAAGTCAGTATATTGTGTACTGTGTACACGTCATACGACTACTGAGTACCGAGTACCGAGTACCGACTACAGAGTACAGAGCGAGAGCACCGAAGAGAAAGATGAAAAAAAATAAAAAAACAAACAAAAGTGAAACCTCCGTCGCTGTCGGCGGTGGTTTGATAAGAAAACGCCGCTACGTGTGATAACCGCCTCCGCGGGAGAGTTTCGGCGTTTCACAATTCTTTGGACTATTTACATCATCATTGTTATCGGACCGGTGGCCGGGCCAACGGGAAAGGTTGATTAGCGCGCGCACCGAGCCCATTGGCCGGTGGCCGCGATACCGTGTATGGAAATCCGAGCGACCGGGTGATAACGGGACGATGGCGAACAGCAAACGCTGTACGGCGTTCACCACTCGTGCACGGCTTCGGGCTTACCGATGTGTGTGCGTACATACCACCGTCCGCCACCTCCGCCATCGCTTGTAGTCGGCGATAAATGACGAAATAATCGACGGACGAACTACGAACCGTCCGTACCTTGCCGGCCAGCCAACGGAGATAGTTCCGTTTCGCTTGTGGCCGTGGACGTGACGCGAAACATTTGGTGTGCGGACCGACGACGTCGACACTCGACTACCGTTGCAGTAGTAGTGTCCACTGCGCGCACCGGCGATCGTGACGCTACCGTCGCACGCCAGTCAGTGGTCGTACTCGTAGTAACTAGTACTTAGTAGTAGTAGACAGTGGTCAGTATTCTGTAGATGGTATTGTAAGAAGTCAGATAGTCGGTAGTCACTAGTCGTAGTAATAGTGGTGGCGGCGGCAGCTGTTGAGTGTTTATGTACGTGTTGAGCGTGTGTGACGTCGCGTGACCGGCAACGAGAACCACGACGACGACGACGACCGCGCGAACCGACCCGCCGGACACGGCAAAGTCGGCGCAAATCACTGTCGCTGGTACTACGTAGCTACCAGTCGACGTCGAGCAGCGACGACGGCGACGGACAACCCGGTCGTGACGATGACTCTGCAGGCAATCAAGTACGAGAACGGCACGTTGGAAGTGCTGGATCAACTGCTGTTGCCCAAAGAGTCCAAGTACATACCCATTTTAGGCGTCGAGGACGGATGGAAGGTCATCAACAAAATGCAGGTGCGTGGTGTACAGCTTTGCCTCTTCACCCACCGGTTCCACCAACCCCTCGTTACATCAGTTTCGGAACTTTACCCCTTCCCCTCCCCCTTACCACAGGATGGGGACGTACGCCGACGTATGCCCATGTGGGAAACTGCCATGTTAACAGGCTTTATCGGTGACACAGATTAAACTGATTGTTTGAGCTCCCAAAATGTACACCGACTTACCACATAATCTCTTTTTAGTCACCACTCGAATTATTTTCTAAAAATATATTACTAATGTCAGTGCTCTGCTCTGTATGTCTCTGAATTTTTTAGATTATTAATTATTATACTCCTAACCTATGGAAGTGCTATTATACATAGGTACTTGATAAAACATTTTGTTTTATCTCTCGTTATTTTTAATCTGTTATATCATATTTTACCTATTTTCTATTTACTACATACTCAACAGGTTATATTTCCCTCGATAATTCCTACAGTTTAAAACAAATTAGTACCTAATTGATTATTTTAAATGAAAGGTACCTGTTGAAACTACTTACACATAGGTATATTGTGTAATGTAGGTAGGTGCTCTTTTATAACAACAAAAAGATTGATTTACAAATCTATCAATATGTTTTTATTTAAATGATTAAATTCAGTGGTATACAATAATTATTGCAAACATACCTTTTCCTTGTCTTTTCCCATACCACAATTCCGATAGTTTTTACCAGTCTTTTAATGAGACATGGCCACATTATATTTCCGCCTCATCTTTAGAAACAAGAACTATTAGGTAATAAATCCAAGGTTTCTTTTAAAAATTATATCTCCCACACATAGACATATTATTAAGTACACAACTTATTTAAATAATAATAATTTTTAGAAATTATACTTTAGTCATAGGTATTAGAAAAAACATATTAAATATTGAATAGAACATAAGTTTTTTCATATTTTAAATCCTCATGTTATATTCTGTATATTACTTAAATTTTTAAAACAATTAGTTATAAATACAATATACAACAGACTATATAGGTATATAGACCTAACCTAACTTACCTATATAGATTCTTACAATCTTACTTTTGACTATCATTTATTAATAACTATATTAGAAAATTTGAATTAATTTATATGAAAGATTTTAAAATGTACCTAATTTTATGTAGGCTATTAGTAAGTATTGGTAAATTCAAAAAATAAGTACTGGGTTACAATAATTTCTTAGAGCCATCAAAGCGGCAGAAAGCTTCCATACAATAATACAGCTGTTAAGTTTTACAACCTAGGTCTTCCAACATATAAGTGGTTTCAATTTTAGTAGAAACTCAAGCCTAGATTTTACCTAACTTTAATAAGTAATCAATTCCATCAATAATAATTAGGTAACGTTGATCAAAAACAACTACAACCGTTCTTTTTTTTACTAAAAAAAAATTTCATTGATCAGCCAAAAATTGTTTGCAGTCATGTTTCATCCCTTTAAATTACCAAAAAAAAATACAATACCATAGGAAGGTTTTATCTTATTGTTTTGTTCAATAAAAATATAAAATTACTGAAATTCTTTATTTAAAGAGCATTATGGACTGTGTATATTATCTTTTATTTCTAACATTTTTTAATATTCATTATTTATGGTATCTAGAAATCGTATATCCCTAAGTGTTGCTAGTAAGCACTTAACTAAAAAGATAAGATAAGTAGCTATAATTTATGTATTTACATTAAAATAGGTATTGGTCAAGATTAATAAAGAAAAATTTGATCAATAAATCAATTACTCTACCCAAACACGCATACATATATAATATTACCTTATATTTAATTTGTTGTCATTAAATATTTTATTGAATAGTTTACCCTAGGCATATTTTTTGTCAAAGATAATGATCATAATGTATTTAATAGTCTGGAATTTATGAATAGTGAAGAGTTTACAATATTGACTGTTAAGATAATATTATAATATTATACTATTATTATTAAATAATGTTAAGTGCATTAACTAATGCAATAAGTCTATCATGAATATTTAATCATCATATTATTAGGTTATATTTAAAAAATAATTAGTTATCAAATATATAAACATATGTATTAATGTAGATGTCCATTGTAAATGATAGGTACCTAATAGTTTATATATTAAACCCCGTTATCCATCCATATCCAACCTCTATATATAATAGTGTAATATTTGATTAATACATAATATGAGATAAAAACTAAATTAGTATTTTGTAAAAGAAGTTTAAAAAAAGAAAAATAACTAAATAAAATGTAATTACTTTCTTATCTTATGTTTTAACATGTAAAATACATTTAATGTTCTAATAAAAAAGATAATGAATATCATAGAGCAGTAAATAAAAATATATAATTTAATTTATACTTATCTTATTAATAAAAACTTTAATATTTAAACAATGAAAACCAAATAACCGTATAAATTATTTATAGAACCTTACATACATTTCACATATATTTGCATGCTTATAAAGTAAAACATCAAATTAATTTATGTGCTATACTTAAATGTCTGGCTTAGTGATGATTTTTTCAATTATAATACTATCAAAATATATTTAGTCATATAGCCAAGGTAACATACATTAAAGATTACACCTAAGAAGATTAACATTACATAATTATCTACCTAAATAAAATAACTTAAGATAAAAAATATATATAATATACGTAAGAGATTTAATTGTTAGGTACATAGATAGGTATAATATATAATTAGTTTAATTAGTGCAATGGTATATCAAGATTTATATTATATTAGATGTCCAAAGTTTCTATCCATGTTACTGTAGGTATCCGTCGTTACTTTATTAGCCTCATAAAATTCAAATGGATAATATATACCTATATAATGCGATTATGCAATTTTAACTACAACTTATGATTATGTTCATAAAAATAACTTTTTTATCTTATAGATTTGCGCATATAATTATATTATTAAAAATTAAGACACTATAATTGTGTACAACTTATATTTGTATGTGAAACAATGTAATATATATCCCTACATATGGATATTATAATTCAATATTTATAATCAAATATAATATGATTGATGATATAGGTACCTACTTATTTTAATTAGTGAAAAATCTTAATGATTTGCCAATATTGTATTTACCTGTTTAAATTTACAATTTCATATACATTTTGCATATCATTACAGTTTTATTAATGTATGCATTGTTATTTGTAGGTACGTGGTGCTCCAGCTATTGCCATTGTTGGTTGTTTAAGTTTGGCTGTAGAAATATCAAAGGAAGAGTTTGAAAAAAAAAAGGCTCTTCGACGAGAAGTTGAGGGTAAACTAAATTATTTAATATCTGCTCGGCCAACTGCTGTAAATATGAAACAGGCCGCAGACCATTTAATATCTTATATAAACTCTTTGGATAATGATGAATCAGTTTCAGCACAAGAAATGCAAGCTAGGTGAATTGCTTTTATAATAATTAATTATCTTATTAATGTTTGTTTAGTACATTACATGATTTATTTTTTTAGGTTTGTAGCAGCTATAGAAGCAATGTTAGAAAAAGATATATCAGATAATAGATCAATAGGAGAATTCGGAGCTAAGGCAATTTTAAACAATGTTACGGATGGTGAACAAGTTCGTGTTTTAACGCACTGCAACACTGGTTCATTAGCTACTGCATATTTTGGTACTGCATTAGGTGTTGTACGTTGTCTACACTCTGCTTCAAGACTGGGTAAAATTTTTGAATAAATATTTGTTTTTGCTTCAAGTTTTCAAATTTTATACCACTGTTTTTATGAGTCGTTTACTTTTTAATGCAAATACAAGTTAACATATTAAACCAAGATGTATCTAAGCATTAGTATCCTTTTATAGAAAATTGTTATTTCACGGAAACAAGGCCTTACAATCAAGGTGCTAGATTAACTGCCTATGAATTAGTTCATGATAAAATACCATCAACCTTGGTCTGTGATAGTACTGTTGCTTATTTAATGAAGACTGCTCAGATTAATGCGGTTGTTGTTGGTGCCGATAGGGTAGCAGCCAATGGAGATACTGCTAACAAAATTGGGACGTATCAAGTTAGTGTATTTAATTACTTTTACAATGTAGTATGTAAAAATTATTATAATCTGAAACTGTATCTAATTATTTATGTTTAATATTTACTACCCAATTTTTCAAAACTTTTGTTCCGTAAACCACACTGCTTTAATTGATATATTACTTTCTTTGGGAATTGGTCCTGGTTTAGATTTTGGAGAACTGGCCACAATGGGTCAAGTACTTCAACATTAAGTTCAATAATCTTGGGTTTACTAATAGGTGGCCATCTATCACATTCACTCTTTTATCTATTTATAAATAATGCTTACATTGTGCTCCAAAGCTGTAAGTTCTTGTGATTCTCAGACAACATGAAATTTTACTCCAGAATTAAATTTTTTGACGAGTACTTACATTTGTAGGAAGATAATGAGAAGTTTTTATCATTGGGAAATACACTTGGTTTAGAACTAATTATATCCAAATTCCAAATACCAAAAAATGATTTTATGAATTCAAGCCTTATAATTCTCTCAAGTAATTAACTGTACTGTACACTATTCGTCAATGAATGGGATCCTAAAACAGCTGCTGGTATACTAGAACAAGTCCAACATAAATGTTTATCTTTTGTGACAGTTTAAATTAAATATCTAATGTCGGCATCATATCCTGCTTTAGTCCAAAAGGCTAATTTAATATTCTTAGTTGATCATTGACATGCTCTCAACATTGCATTCTTCCAAAAACTAACCCTGGTTCCATTGATTCCTTTTTTCTATTATCAATTTAAGTACCAATCAAGAACACCTATAATCCCATTTCTTATACCTATCCATTCAGCTATTTTTTTGAGATACAAGCCATTAAGCTGTATCATGAAACTTGTCAACGAGGACCAGTGACATAGATCACTTAAATTTTCTATGACATATGTCATAGTAGATTTTTTAGATGGAGGGCCCACCATAAGGTACTGCAGACTGCAGAGGATCTCACTGTGGATCCAGAATTTACGTTATATGTATGTGCTTTGATTGCATCTAATTCTTTTATTAAAAAATTAGGGATGATAGGAGGGGAACCATTGATGTACGATGTCATAGTATATTTTAAACACTCTGGCACCACTAACAAAGACCTCTTATTTTATTTTGTTTGTACATTATTTAACTATTGGGACGGGAAGCCAGTAGTGTCACATAATAAATTAATAAATTGTATCAAATTTTCTTTCAATTTTAAAACACTTCATGACATTTGAAATATATATATATTCATAATGTAAGTTATAACTTTTTTTTTTCTATCAGATTGCTGTAGTTGCCAAACACCACGAGGTTCCATTTTATGTAGCTGCTCCACTAACTTCAATTGATTTTAATGTAAATACTGGTGATAATATAGTGATTGAGGAAAGGCCTCAAGTGGAAATGACTCATATAAATAATATTAGAATAGCTTCTCCAGGTAATTTTTTTTTTTAATTGTTAATTAATTAACTTTTTTTTTTTTTTTTGTGGTATCGAGGACTGGAGGAGGAACTATGGTGCCAGTACTTCTCCTCAATTAATTAATTAACTAACACTGGGCTAATTTATAAATGTTCATTATTTTTCTTGTATATTATTTAAGATACATAAATTACTTCTAAGAAAAATTGTATTAGTACAGTCAAACTTGGTTAACCCAAGTTCAAGGAACCAGCCAAAAAAGTTAGAGTTGTTGACAATTTTGAGTAAAAAAAGTTTTGAGTTAAACCAAGATCGACTTTATATTTTAAATTGAATGATTTTTTTTTTAGAATAACTTAAATAATATATTGTTTCATAATTTCTTTTTTAAATGGATGTACTATTAAAGATAAATTTTCTTGTTTTTCAATAAACAGTTTAATTCTTCATTATATAAAAATAAAATCTTATTTTTTATTGTATGGTCAGAGTTTTATCATAGTACCTATTATTTTTCATATTTAAATGTTTCTTAAAAATGTTAGCGTTTATAAACTAATGAATATTAGTTTTTAGTAGACTTAAATAAAATGTATTATCAAAATTATTTTTGTTTGTTAATACTTAAATTTACAATTTAAATGACACAATGTGAAATGCAATTAATTATTAATGATGGTGATTATAAATTAACCCAATACTTAGTAAGCATAATTCACTGTTATGTAACAAATTATATGTAAAGTATATTAGAACATAAAATATTTAATTACTTCGAAAAGAATATAAGATAGAAGTGTAAAGAAAAGATTGGAAGCTTATTATGCAATGTTCTTAACTGTATTTTCTATGTACTAAGTTTCTTTTAAGTAAAATGCTCGGTAAAATAATTATCTAATTAAATATTATCTAAATAATTATTTATATTCTGTTTAATTTATGTTCTATAAACTAATACTATAAATTTTACATTTTCATAAGGAGCAAGCAGACGTTAGCAATAGAAATTTTGATTCTATCAGCGCACAATGTACATAAAAAAATGTACCTATCAAATTTTGATTATTTTGCCTAAATATTATTTTTAATATTTGTATTAAAATGTTTATAGTTTAGACTAAATAATCCAAATTAATTAAAATAACAAGTATGTTTACTGTGCTAAATTACTATTATCGGTATCAGTCGTGTTCATTGCAGTTAAAACTAATGTAGGTTCACTTCTTTATAACAATAGGCAACCTTCCTTTGTTCATGATCAAATGTATAGGCAGTATTATTATCTGTGTTGTACAGTTTCATTTCTATAATTTCATTCTACAATGAGATAATATAAATGAAAATAAATGTATCTCTGTTTAAAAATGTAAAGAAAAAAATAATCTAAGCTACAACATATTATATTTTTCTATGTAAATTAAATAGTTTGGAAATCGACTACAGTATTAAACTTGAACCCACAGTATTTTGATCTTAGTAAAAAATCAATTGTGCCTAATTGTGTAAATTTTTATTTTTGTATATAAATCTACAATATAATTTTTGTTATTGTTAAATATTTAACTAATTATACTTAATTATTAGTTAATATTAAAAATTCTATCTCCAGTAATAGATTGGCGTATAGAAAGAATTTTTTATAAAGCATTTTTCACATTCATATTCATTTACAGTTATACAATTTTTATATTAAACAATTTGACAACACTAACCTTTTCTAAAAAAAACACTGTTACTATAATATATTAATATTGCTTAAGTTTGTATTCCATAGGTTGTTTAAATATCTATTTATTTTTTTAAACTTGATATATCGATTTCAGGTGTAACTTGTTGGAATCCAGCATTTGATGTAACACCAGCTCGACTGATAACTGGAATAATAACTGAAAAGGGTGTTTTCCGACCGTCTGAACTCTCCACACTCCAGTCTCAATTGCAAGATCATAAAAATTCACTTCCCCAACTGTAATACATACCTTAATATTATATCACTGCACAAATGCATCGTACAACTTTTTATGAAAAAAAAAATTTAGGCTATTTTTATAATATATGTATGCGAAAGCTACAGTCCTAAGCCAACGACATCAATTTTTATTTATGTATAAGTGTATAATCATAATATTATTGTCTGTTGAAAATTATTTTTAATATTATATGGAAACAATTAATTCCATAGACGAAGAGTACATTGAGAATAGACCAATTATTACTTATATATTTTAATTTAGTCAAGTATAGTTGTGATACAAGTTATAATAATATTATTTTTATAATTTAATTTAATTTTTTTTTTATGTATACATATATAATATAATATCTATTTATATATATATGTACATGGGGTTTAAATTATTTTTATTGGAAAAAAGCATGGCTATAAATCATTTAAAAATTATTTTCATAAAGGGCCTTTAAAGAAAAATTCAAGATTTTTTTATACCTATATATATTTTAACATTTCAAATATGAAACTGAATCGATTATTTTCTAAACATTTTGTATTCTTAAGTTCTAACATAAATTAATATGAAGATCGATGTTGTTTTCAATCATTATAATAATTATAGTATAATTTATTTAAACCCTTAAATTGGGTATATACCCCCATATCTAATTATGTGTGTATGATTTATTATATAATTCCCATTCAAATTCTTACTTTATGTACTTATGGCATTTATATTAGCTCATTGTGATAATTGATAAGCTATAAACATAAAAATATTAATGTTTAATACCATGTTATTATGTATATTTACATTTTTATGTTTGGGGTATCTAACAAATCTTCTTCACAACTTTATGTAGCATAAAGTACCTATTTCAAAGCGCATTTAATGGTTATTATTATTATTATAAAATTATTTATATTATTATATTTTTAATGATATATTTTAGAGATCCTTTTACTAGACATATAACTCTTTGCCTGTTACATATTTATAAACTGCCTATGTAAAATGAAAACGTGTGCATTGAGATTGTTAATATGTTAATAATTATCTCTAATCTGCAGATTAATATAATAATTATTTATTTACTTAAAAAAAAAAGAATAAATAAACAAACAAACAAATTGTTACATCAATCTTATAATATGATAAATATTTTGTTAAATGAATAAAGCATAATATAATTATTATGTGGGTATGCATAGGTGGTATGTGATTAGCGACCTTAACCTTGAACATTTGACAAACTTGGGTGGAAAAACAAGATGCTAATGTATATTGAAGAATTACAACAAATAAATAAATGGCGTCAGTGAAAGAAAAGGAAGAAGACGTCGAGTGTTCATTTTTACACCCAGGCACGTTTATATTTTTTTTCTAGTGATCTAAATATAGATCAAACAGGGACTGGGAGTTTTTACTACGCGCATGCTGCCCAATGCGCCATCGAATCGGCCAACTATCAGGACGTTTAGCACGGGAAAAAACATTGTTCAATTTATAAATCAACTTAAATAATCGCACCAGCAGCGTAGCGTGCGCGAGTGTTAAAAAATTAGAATAACGTATTGGTCCGGCACCGTATAACTATATTTCGTTTCGGTACCTAACTGTACTGCATATTTTCGCTGTACAAACGCCGTTCATTTTCAACGGAATCAAAATGGGCAGTGTCGAAGAGATCTATGAAAATGAAATTCACCGTACCATCACGCGGCGTACGAGCTTCAAAATTCAAGAGGTAAATGATTGTCTAAATAACTTTTAATCATTACCTATTATATTGTCGCATAACAATAATATTATCAAAAATATATAAATTATGCTTCTTTATTTTCAATGTTTGTGCGCGGATTTTAATAACGTTTGCCGAAATTTTCAATTGAACCAGCAAAATAAATATATACATCAACGTTCTACCTTGGCTACTGCCTACTTATACTATAATACTATTATTTTCGAACATCATAATATGGTAATATCTAGGTAGGTAATATAATATAATTCTTTTTTCGGCGACATCGGCCATTTGGAGATACAGAGATATAATATAATAATAGTATCGTCTGCTTTAAAATATTTTTACAAATTCCAGACTTCAGTATTAACTATTAGACGATTTTGTATAATATTGTTCCTTAATCCTTTAAAAAACAATAATACTATACTGTATGTCTACGTGTGGTTGATTTTTGTTCTGCGAGACTAAATAGATTAACTATGTAGCATTGATAAATTATATGTCGCACAATGAAAAACAAAAACCTACAGTAGGAAGTGAAAATTGAATGAAAAATGTTTTCAACATTCAAGGTCAAAAATCCGTTTAAAATACAAGTAAAAAAATAAATTGAACACGAAGTACAATATTATAGTAATGTAGTAGGTATACCTACCTAAACCATTATTACAGTGCTCGAATTGAAAAAATAAAAAAAGGGAGATTGAGATTTTTTAAATAGGTACTTACTAACTTTTATTGGCGTTTCTTGAATTGATTGAATCCAATCTAATTTATCATCAAACTAATGATTACAATGTAATAACAGGTTCTTATTCCAGTAAGTAGTAACGACTAAGTTCTACCTACTATACCTACCTACTAAGTCTTATAAGTGATTAAAATAAATTTAAACAATAGTAATAAATTATAGTAGTTTATATTTTATTCACATTGGAAATAGTTGTAATTAATTAAATGTACCTATACAATAATTTATATTTTAGGATCTGACTTCTGAGTGAAGCGATTAATATATTTGATTTTACAAAGAGTTTTTTTCTGCATGTATGTCTGTCATCACCTTTTAGGGCAGTAAAAATGCTTTGATTTTAAACTGGCAGTGGTTTTTGGTAGCAAATTGGATCGAGTTTTGGTAATTTGATGGGTCAAAAGTAAAAAATTCACAGTACCAACATAACGAGAAAAACAAAAAAAAAGTTAAGGAAAAACGGGAATTTTCACACAAAATAAGTTTTCGAAAAATTCAATTTTGTATTTTGATGTAGAATCGCACAGAATCGTTTTTCGTATACAATGATTTTATATCATTGAATTCAAATTGAACTCATCCGTTACAGCTACCCATCTAGACACCTACTATGCAGCAGATCGATACCTACTTTTTTTATGTAACTCAACTAATTAATAACCATAGATACTTTTTAGAGTAGATTACTATTCACATTTTCTGTTCGTGATATATTAGTCGAAATATTTTTAACGCTTTTTGAGCTATATTATGTAGACATTTGACATTTTCGATTTTTTTTCTTTAAAAGTACGTCACACCCGCATGTGATACTGTTGTTGTCTCAGTATAACACACGCGTACGACATAAAAAAATAGTGTTTATGCAGTCTGAGTAGAACTCGCTCAATTTTGGTTTCTAGAGTTAAAACGCCCATTATAAAATTGAATTGTGACAATATTTCTGAGGGCAAGAATTTTTTTCCATCATTCCCAATATAACGTTCATTATACCGTTTAAAATTAACAAAAATTTTAACTTTTTTAAATGACCTTTAACTTTTCAAAGTTAAAATTTTTTTAAAAAACTCACCGTCTTGCCTTCCAATATATTGTCATCTTTTAATTTTGTGATGGGTGTTTTTTTTCTAACACCAAAATTTAGCTAGTTCTACTCAGATTGCGTAAACACGTTTTGTCCATGTCGCATACGTGTAAGACGGAGACAACACAAGCGGGTGTGATGTCCTCTTATAGACTTTAGGTTAATTATCTATAGGTATATTATTATGAAAATAATAACTTAAAATATATGTGTTCTCAAATTAAAAAAAAATACTTATGAAAGAACTTAGCTCTCATCCTCAATTTGAGCAATTTGATTTTCGTGGATGTGTATATACCGTACTAATATAGTGACATAGCGTACTATAATAGCGTGGTCACATCATTTATCGTCCAATTGAGGTGATTATTTTGACTTTTGAGCGTTTTAAACAGATCGTGTCTTTAGGGTTTTGGCCCTCAGGACGAATGCAAATAAAATAGGTATTCAATTCCCAAATCAACAAGTATCAACTATACTTTTCTAATAACATAAATTGTTAATTTTAAGGAACTACGCGATGGTCGTTATCTTATGTTTAATTCGTTGTATTTAATATAGCTGTTCAACTTCAACCTATACTTACAGCTTATCTGGTGGTATATTGAGATGTGTGCCTATATATGTTATCATTTTTTTTTACATAAACCATTGGTAAACACTGCTTAATATTTTACTGACATTTTAATAACCAAATATCTACTATATACTATACGCCTATACATTATTAAATTAGGTACCTACTATAATATAATATGCACCTATAATCTATATCCTAAATACCTACCTAATACGTCTGATAAATTAAAATATAATAGAGACATCTAATATAGGTATTATATTATGTGGGTATTTAGTATTAGGTTTCTTGAAAGATTGTTGAGTGGTAAAATTAAGTCATCATCTGCCATAATGACTGATACTGATATACTACTTGCGTCTTCTTGGCAGGGGAGGCAATACCTTTGCTAAGGAGGTCCAGACTTCAAACCCCTCCCCTAGATATTTTTTTCACAGCTTAGACCTCGATGTGAGCCAACGATTAATAAATAAATCCTCACACAATCGTATCATTTTATTACCATAATTATTCTATACGGTTAAGAGTTAGGTTACACATAAAATTAAAAATAGTTTTCAATAAATCCTTTTTAATAATATGTATAATAATAGATCGATAAAGACATATATTAATATAACATAGTTATTTATAATCTTGAAAAAAAAAAAAATAATTTGAACAACTTTAAAATGTAATAATGTAGTAGGTATGTTTTATTAAAGTTCCATACGTCCGACGTCGTTTGGAAGTAGGGTCTAATGTTTTAAAAATGTCTATTACTTCTATAATTATACATTATAAGCTTGTTCATAAGAATGACGTATGGTGATACTGATAACTACTGTGTTTAAGGTATGGTACCTCAGGTTCGTATAA